ATTGATTTATGAAGCCATTTCAGTTTGTGCTTTTGATAATTTGGTTCTCTTAAATACACTGTTACATGTTAATTATATGCCAGTACACAATTTTATTGAGATTTTTTGAATGTCAATCTAGAACAAGAAAGTAAAGTTTGTATAGGCAAAAGTTCCAGGGTAATTGGCTTAGAAACAGAACAGATTCCACTATGCCAAAAGAATAATGGAGAAAATGAATAAAGTGTGTATTATGCGCTGTGTTTTCTCTCTACATTGAAATGCAAAACATTATAAGTAAAATATTATTATTTTATTTAAAAAATAAAATTACTTTTTTTTTGAGACAGAGTCTCGTTCTGTCGCCAGGCTGAAGTGCAGTGGTGGGATCTTGGCTCGCTGCAATCTCCACCTCCTGGGTTTAAGCGATTCCCCTGCCTCAGCCTCCCAAGTAGCTGGGATTACAAGAGTGCACCACCATGCCCGGCTAATTTTTTGTATTTTAGTAGAGACAGGGTTTCACCATGTTGACGAGGATGGTCTTGATCCCCTGACCTCTTGATCTGCCCACCTCAGCCTCCCAAATAGGCGTGAGCCATCACACCCGGCCAATTATTATTTTAATAATAAAATGGTATGCTAATATTAATTCTTTAACCTTTTACTGTGCTTTTTATATTACCGAAGAATTAACTGTACTAGCAGCCTTAATTCACAAAGAAAGACTTAGGTGGCCATGTGATTGAACCACATCACAGACTCCTAAGACTGACCCCGCCCCTAAGTCTGTGATTCATCCAGACTTGTGCTCTGTGATGCATCCAGTCTCAAACACATCTGGCTCTTTTATGTCTTGAGATAGCAGTCAGAATTGCACATGAAGTTGAAGGCATACTGCCATGGCTTTTCATAAAAGCGAGAGAAGTATATAGACTTTTTCTGTGCACCTCCTGATGCTGCCCCACTCCCAGGCCGTTTGGCCTGAAGTTTTAGGGAAAATCTATGTTTTTCAACCTCAGCACAGACTGGTGGGTTGGCTTCCTGGGTTGCAGCTGACAGCCAGCATTCCATGGGTGCAGTTTTACTACCTTACTGCAAAGGCATTGCCATAGACATAGTCACTTTGGAGCAATATGCTGCCTTCCTGCTCGTTTGCACAGGACTCTGAGGAACTTCCCATTGTCCATCCTCATGCACTTGTCCTTCTGCTTCCTAGACACTTAACAGATTTTATTGGCTGTTTGTAAATCAAACTGGTCCCAACTAACGACAATTCCTGATGAGCATAGCTCTTAAATTTTTCCATTTGGGATGTATCAGCTTTTCTCTATCCTTGCTTCCTATGTTAATGCCAATGCCTTTTTTCACAATGAAATAGGGGCCCTGGTCCCATGTTTTGCTCAAAATATGGGCTGATAACCAGAGGAATATATGCCACCTAACTGTAGTTGGCTAAGTAGCCAACAGAAGACACTTTTCACTTTGGATTTCATAAAATAATTTCGTGCAGAATAATCTCACAGCCTCTATAATTTATTTAAACAAATCTTCAGAAACATAATTTTTTTGTTAGAGAATTCCCAAATTTGAAATTAGGGTAACTAACTATAGGGACTTTTTCATCACCAATTTTTTTCAACCATTATTTCCTACTCACAATACAACTGTGCTTATGTGATATATTTACTTTTCCAAAAAAGTTGATATTTTTTAAAGGCCCCCTCTTTAAAATTGGACACTCTCCTCTTCACCCTATTATACTTACAAAAAATGTTCTTTTTAAAAAGATCCATTTGTATTTAAGTCTTTAGTGCTCCCATTCTCTGTTGTAGAGTCAGTCATCTCTGCTCACTCCTCAAACCCCATAAATATTTATCCAGTGCCTGGGGTAAGCAAAGTAGGAACTCACCCAGTCTTGGTGTGCTTACCATGACCTAAATCCCTGCATACCCCCAGAATCCTTCTTCATGACAGAGTCACATTTGCAATCTGGCACAGTAGCTTGCATAACAATAGATTCCAGTGGCCTAATTTCACCCTTGAGTTCCTGCACAACTCTCATTCAGCTGCCCTCCACTTGGTGATTTATCTAGATTTATTGTGTCAATTTGGCAGAATAGCTCTGATATAACCACTGTTGGATCTAATATCATCAATCTTCCATTTCCAGGAATAATACAGGACTGGCAATCTCCCCATGATCTTCTTCATTAAAAGCGAAGGTCTAAGAGTACACCTATGAGCTATCATTGTTTCATCCTTTGGAGAACTCTCTGTTCCAAAATCATCGGTGGTCCATCCTCTCCTTTTAAATAAATTATTCTCTCTCAGATTCATTGAAAGGAACTGTATTGCTCTTGAAGCCTCACATATAATACTCCTCAATTTCTTTGCATTTTGAGGACCACGTTATTGCTGTGTGATTGCTAATTTTCCATACCTTGTAGACTTTCTCATTATTTGAACCATGTTACAGTTTAGGAAAAAAGCTAATTACTTCCTGAAGTCAGATGTTTGATACTTCCAATTATCCATGTAATGGGAGGACAGGAATAATCTTGAATAGGATGGTTTTTACAAAATCATTGCATTTCTATTACAGCTACCTGCACTAAAATTAATAAACAACTCACTGAGTGGTTGGACACTCAAAATTCTAGGTGTAACTTTTATCATGATTACTAATCATTCCTTAATATAAGAAATATATTAATCACTAACTCTGTGTAAGACCAAGTGCTAGGCGCTAGGAATTCAAGCAATTCAGAAAACGTCACCTCTGCACTGAAGGATCTCACAATGTAGAATCCAGTCACATTGCAGACATGTAAAAAAACACATCAAGGTCATTCAGTGTGACAGATGACACATAATAGGTAAAAAGTGAAGGGCAGAGTGATTTCCTAGACATCTAGGAGAAAAGCTGTTTTCAGAGCAGGGTGAATAATGATATTGAGTGGCATCTTGACAAATGGATGGGAGGGTTGTGGGCAGACCATGTTAGGAAGGGGAGGGGCCAGGAGGCATTGAACAGTTTGACCATGGTGTGCAGTACAACAACAGAAATGGTAGCAGAGGAGACTAGACGAGACTGCTGGGTGTGCCAAGAGCAAACGTTAGAACTTCATCCTGAGGGCAAAAGGTGGCCAGGGGATTTTAAGCAATGAGATAATATGGTCAAATTTGTGATATGAGTGTGCAAGCAGAGAGATCATTTCGGAGGTTATGACCGTGTTAAAGCAAGAGCTGATGGAAGCAGTGACAGTGGGAATGAAAAGAAGGGAATTGATTCAACATGCAGGTAACAGGTCTAGCTGAGTCCTTCAAACATTTGTTCAGGGTGGTAGTAATTAAGGAAGAGCAAGAAATCAAAGGCGACCCCAACTCAGGATTCATTTTCAGGTAACTAGGTACATGGTGCTTCTAATAACCAGCAGAAGGACTGCGGGAAGAACAGCAGGTTAGTACTAAGGTTAGTCTGAGTATTATGGAAGAGCTCTGTAAAGATAATGAGTTCTCCTTTGAACGTACTTAGTTTGGCATGAGGTATCTAAATGAAGGTTTCTGATAAATGATTACATAAATCTGGTGCTCAGGCTTAGAAATAAATATGAAAGAGTCAGTAGCATAGGGTTCAGTCAATTTTGCATTCTGGCTGGTTGTACTTGAGGTATTACACTAACAATGACAGCAATAATGATAAATAACACATGATCCCTCTCTGAAACATAGTAAGGAACAAAACCACAATTATTTGTATCTTATTCCTCTCATATATAAGGTACATGAATCTTATTCATGTATTTATTCCATGTCCTAAAATAAGGCTTTGCCAATACAAACTTTACTTACCTTTCAGACACATTATTATTTTAAATAACTCTTTTGATCATTCTTAAGATTAGCAACTATCAAATAAATGAATTACTAACATGGTATAGTTTCTGATTCCAAAGTATGAGAATAAACAGTTGATTCCAGCTGGAAAATCATTTAGCTGAAACATTATACTTTTTATCATATCCCCTTTATATCACATTTGTGAAGGACAGATTTGTTATACTTCCTGAATCAATGAAGATTTGGCAGCACTTATGTCATTTGGGTAGAAAGAAAGTGTTCAAACAGAGCTTTTACTTTTTTTTTTAAAAACAGTCTCCTTCTGTCGCCCAGGCTGGAGTGCAGTCGCATGATGTTGGCTCACTGCAACCTCCACCTCCTGGGTTCAAGCGATTCTTGTGTCTCAGCCACCTAAGTAGCTGGTATTACAGACGTGCACCATCACACCTGGCTAATTTTTGTATTTTTGATAGAGACAGGATTTCACCATGTTGGCCAAGCTGGTCTCAAACTCTTGACCTCAGGTGATCTGCCCACCTCAGCCTCCCAAAGTGCTAGGATTACAGACGTAAGCCACCATGCTCGGCCAGAGCTTTTACTTTTGCCCCTTTAAAATAGCAGCTCTCTTTGAAAAGTAAATATATCACATAAGCACAGTTGGCTTGTGGGTAGGAAATGATGGTTGAGAAAAATGTGTGATGAAAAAGTCCCCATAGTTACCCTAACTTCAAATTCAGAAATTCTCTGACAAAAAAAAAAAAAAAAATGATGTTTCTGAAGCTTTGTTTAAGTAAATTATAGAAACTCTGGAATTACTGTGTGCAAAAATCATTTTATGAAACTCCAAGTGAAAAGCTTGTTCTGTTATTTAAATCCATAGTTAGCTAGTAGATATTCCTCTGGCTATCAGCCCATATTTTGAGCAAGTGACATATACAAAGAATAAGCTAAGAGATTCTAATGTCTCTTAAGAAAAGGAAACATTGAATAGACAGTTTTTCAGATATGTGCATTGAATTGTTTTCACAACCTTTTATAAAATGGATGTGCTCACATAAGGCATGCAGTTATGTATCCTGTGATTTCCATAGAATGGAAAATGTCAAACCTTGTTGCTGAAAGTGCTCCAAATTACATCATGTTTTGTTTTTGTTTTTGTTTTTTCTATTACCATTAAACAGGGAAGGCCATGGTAAAATTTCAGTATTTGCTGTCAAAATGGCTTTAGCCACATTGTGTGGAGGGAAGATCATGGACAAATTAAGATGTAAGTTATTATTCCTTGTGTCTCTCTTTGCTTTTCCCTGCTAGGTACTACCCTTTTCGCTCCCTCATTCCCCCATGTCCCCTGCCCATTTGTATCTTTCCTCATTCTATGAGAGTTGTTTGAAATACATTTTTCACTGATGTTTGGATTTTGTCATAGCGATATTTTCATATTAAATGCTAATGAAATGAATGTTTTCCTCTACTTAAAACCTGTTGAGTATCACCAACTGGCCTCTTTCTGAAATTAAAGTAAAATAAGCGCTCTTTGCAGTTAATTGTGCTATACTGCCTTACAGGTGGTACAGGATGATAGGGACATGAAGGCTTAGTGGGAAACCTTCCCCTTTAAGTCTTCTAAAAGCAAGGCTCCTGGCACATTTCCTCATTCTTCTCAGCCAGCACTACTCAAATCACTAGGAACTCCAAAGGTTTCAAAGCCAACAATGTCAGGAAAGAAGAATAGGAATTACATAGAGACAGCACTGACAGAGTCAACTAGATGCCAATAAAAGCATGGTAGCTAAAGTACATTGAGTAATTGTGGGCCTTAATGAATATTTTGTCTCTAAATATGGTAGAGTTCCTTAACCAACAACACATTGGGGATTGTTTGTTTGTTTGCTTTAGGTAAAGAAACTGAGACTCGTTTAACCATATGGCTAAGATGACACGAGGATTTGAACCCGGGCTTTTTTTTTCTACACCAGTGGGTCACAAATTTTAGCGTGCATCAGAATCACCTGGAGGGCTTTGATAAAATGTAGATTCCTGGGTCCCACCCCAAGAATTTCTGACTCAGTAGGCCTAGGATGAGGGTGGGTGACAACAATATTTATTTCTAACTGGTTTAAAATGATGTTGATGCTGCTGTTTAAATTTAAAATTTCCATTGAACCCCATCCTTTCCCCTAAATAGTAGGAGTTGGGGCTATAATACTGTGGTAAAAAGGGCACTGTTCTGGGAATTGGGAGTTCCAGGTTGCAAGCCCAGCTGTGTGACTAATTTTCTGAGTTATCCTTCGGCAGTTACTTCACTTCTTTAGTCCTCAGCCTCCTTCTGTATCCTAAATTTTGGGATTTTGTGAGATACCCATAGAGTCACACCTGGCTGCGTGCAGCCGTCTGTGTGGTTCACAGCACATGGCTCACCTGCTGCCTGTCCTCTTCTGAATGAGATCTCTTGCTTCTTGATCCACCCAGAAGGAAAGAAGAAAGAAAGACACAGAAAAAAACCTTTTGTTCCTTTGAAATTTCCCTGGAGGTGCTCCAGGGATGAATCCTTTCAGTGGACCAGTGAGTAAGTAAGAGGGACAACAAAGCCTCAGGGAGCCTCAGGTAGCCACACAGTCCCTCACTTCTGGGACTTCCCTCTATGGAGAGCCAAATGCAGCCAGGATTCAGAGAAGCCTAGCCAGACCTTAGGAGGAGCCATGGAGCTTCCCTTTTGTTAGCCTGAAAGATAGAGAAAATTAAAAACTGTCTACCTCGGTGCTTATTTGAGAGATAAGGTGCTGACACCAAGGACTTTTTTTCAAAAAAAAAAAAAAAAAAAAAGCTTCAGAGTAATCCTCGGGCATTTCCTTCAGGGTTAAGCCAGAAAGAGAAAGTTTAGCAAAATGAACCAAGGCTGAGGAAGTAAGTTCTGAGAACCTTGTCTGCCAACCCCAACTGGCCATTTACAAAGAGGACATTAGATAAATGTAAAAAACAAAACAAAAGCTAAAAAAAAAAAAAAAAAAAAAAAAAAACACTTGGGAGATATCTAAAAATACCTATTTAATATTATATTAATAGGTACCTGGATAAAAGGGTCCCATATTAAAATAAGTTTGAGGAAAACTAAGAAAACCAGTTTTCTGCATCTCAGAACATCTGTCAACCTGTAACACACCAGGTGAATTCTGAGCCCTCGAGGTCCTGGTGTTTGCTATCTTTCCACTCAGCTTTGCTCAGTGTAAGATTTCATCCTCCTCCGACGAGTAAGGGTGGAGGGTGGAGGAGGGGGGCTGGTGGGGGTGACAGTCACAGGAGTCACATCTCACTACAGAGGTCCCCCAGCCCTTACAGCTCATCACCTAGGGTGGCATCTCAGACCAATTACTAAACTAGTTACTGGTTAGAGAAGAAGTATGACAGCAATGGTCATTGTATAGTCCACTTTTACCTCTTGGGCTCAGAAGGGCCGTCCCTTTCCCTCAACCCATGAGTAACCCACGAACAAATGTGGGACAAATAAAGATGAAGGGAATGGTTGGTAGGTAAGGGACTAGCAATGTCAGCACTGTTACAAATCTCAAGATATAACTAAGTTATTGATCAGATCTTTACAATTGTGAAAACCCTTCCAGTTCTCTCTTGGGTCCAGGAGTTCAAAGGAAACAGTATAACTGCTACAATGCTTTCTCCTCACCACATTCCATCAACCTCCAAAAAGCACTCTTTAGTGGCCAAAGTCTATCCTCTTTAGGGCAGTGAAAGAAGCAACAAATGCATGTGTCCCCTTGGAGGTAAACTAAGTTTTCTAGTCTGCAGAAACATGTTCCACAATATCACAGACTCTGTAGAGCTACAGATAGTGTGACCCCAATAAATCGCATTCCCCACTTTGAGAGCAGCTGCACCTGAATCACACCCTTAAGTGTCCCTGGTTCTCTGACTGAGGAGTCACTCTTTGTATAGTTAATCGTAGGAAGATGGTTTTAGCGGTTTCCAGGTAATTTGGTTAAAATCAATTTGACCAAAAACAATTTAATTAAAGGTAATTTGGTCACAAAAATCTCTTCAGAATGTTAGCTGGTCAAAAATGAATATCCTGAGTCATGAATATTTCTAGTTTCAGTGATAATTATTAATTGAATGAGCGAATGTGGGCAAATTTACCCACAAAATCTACCCACAGACACCATGGCTGCCCCTTGGTGAGTGGGCTTGTGAGTGTTCCTATTGTATTCTTTTGCTGGCTTGCATTTTAATGATAAAACAGGTAAGTTAGCCAGGCATGGTGGCACATGCCTTTAGTCCCAGCTACCCAGAAGGCTGAGGCAGGATGATCACTTGAACCCAGGAGGCAGAGGTTGCATGAGTTGAGATCACGCCACTACAGTGGGCGACAGAGCGAAACTCCATCTCAAAAAACCAAATCAAAACAAAATAAAACAAAACAAAAAAAAAAACAGGTAAGGTCATGATTTTCTACATTGCTTCTGTAATAAGAAAAAAGTAAAATGAAGGGATATGGAATGTTTCAGCCTTGAGGGTTTTGATTTCCCTTCTGTAAAGTTTTTCTAATTCACGTTAAGCCAAAATGCCAGCTGTGCTTGTTTGGCAATTTTTCTATTTTTGTGCATAGGGATGAGAGCTATTTAGCTTGTTCCAGCTACTCCCTTATTGTTGGGGAACACAGAGCAAGAATAATTGAGAATGTCAGAAATTTTAAAAAACAAAGAGAAAGCAAAAGAAAATTTGAAGTTGATTTTCTTAATGCTTTAAAATGCATTAAAAGAGAAAACAACACTATGTTGCAACATAATTTCCGTTAATTATGGCTACCATTCACTGGTAGGGTGTTCCCTGTGTAATTTCAGGGAGCATCATTGACACAGCCTAGGAGATGAAGGGCGCCCCCTGCAGTCATGTGCCATGGCAACCTAAACATAAACTTACCTAATAATACTGCTTTTTTGTCAGATTGTTCTTGGCCCAATTATAAACTGTTTTAATGGGTTGGAACATTTGTTTATACTTCTGCCTTAGGGATCCTGGATAGTTCTAGGGCTCTTAAGGTATTCTAAATTCAATGCTGTAAGCCTAGTATGTCATGTGCTGTTCTAAAGCTTTGGGGAGGACTTGTTTTTAAAATACTAGTATTATGGAAAATACTGCATATTTATTGAGTTTCTATTACTAACCTGGTTGTTTTGCCTCTATGCCTACCCCTAGGGTTTCTAACGCACTGACCTACTTTAAATTCTTCAGTGTCTCCCTCAACATCTTCTGAACACAACCTAAACTCCTCAGTAGAATTCAGCCATAAAAAAGAATGAAATCCTGTCATTTGAGGCAACAGGGATGAGCCTGGAGGACATTATGTTAAGTAAAATAAATCAGGCATGGAAAGATAAATACTGCATGTTCTCACTCATATGTGGGATCTAAAAAAGAAAAAAAAAAAAAGCTGAACTCATGGAAGTAGAATTGTGCTTATTCGAGGCTGGGAAGTGTACGGGGCTGCAGGGGGTTGAGGGGGATAGGGAGAGGTTAGCTAATGGCTACAAAATTACAGCTACATAGGAGGAATACGTTCCAGTGTTCTATAGCACTGTAGGGTGACTATAGTTAACAAAAATTGATTGTATATTTCCAAAAAGCTGAAAGACAAGATGTTGAATGTTCCCAACACAAAGAAATGATAAATGTTTGAAATGAGGGTAATGCTCATTATCCTGATGTGATCATTACACACTGAACACATGTATCAAGATATCACTCTGTAGCCCATAAATATGTACATTAATTTTTTTACTCAGATAGAATCTCTATAGTCTTATGGTTAATAAACTGTTTGAAACAGCAGAAACCCTTTATAAATGGAGTATTTAATGAAAATGAGAGTCAATTCGTGTTCTCAAAACCATAATCCAATAAAAGCCTGTGATATGCTTAACATCTGACTTTGGTGTAAAAACAATGTTCCCAGATTACATTTTGACCTTGAAAAATTAAACCTAAAGTGAATAGAGGTAGCACATTCACAGCAGTTTATCCCAGCAGCTGTGCTGGCTTGGTGACAAGCTAGTTAGCATGGTGACAAACTATATAATAGCAAACCCTTTCATTCTAATAGTGATTTGCACAGAGGAATTATAAAGCACCTTGGAAAATTATGTCATTAATATTCATTAAGTGCACATACTGGCAGAAATTGAAGAACAGTGGTTCAGTGAAGCCACAGACCCTTCAGAGAAAGATCCAGGACCCTGACTTTACCTCATTGATCATCCACAAGGCCAGGCTTCCTCTTCACTACACGAGTCAGAAAACCCTTCCCTGTAAATCAAGTGCCTCCCACCCAGAAAACTGTAATTTATAGAAAGTTTTCTGCTTCTGTAGGAAGTTAATCAGGTGTTTGTCATTACATCTTTATCCTCACCGTGTCTTTGATTTTTCACATATCTTACACCAAAATCTGAAAGTTTTAGTGATAATATAAATTGGTAAATTTCTAGCTGGATAAATGAATGTACACACACCCCAAATTTACAGTAAAACTCTCATTGTGTTTCAAATGAAGTCAGCATCTCTCTCATATATACAAAAATTTCTCCTGTTGAACTCCATGAGAGTCAAAACAAAAAGATAGTGTCTTATTAAAGACATTTAATAAGTGTCTCTCTCTTATTAAAATGTTAGTCTTACCCAAATTACTTGTGATCGCTATGTGCCAGAATCATCTACAAAAAGAAAACAGAGAAAACATTATGCCAGGAATATTTAAGCATAAAAATTAGCTTTTATATCGTTCTTTCATTAAAAAAAATCTGTTTTGCTACTTTTTTGTCATTTATAGCAGATGTATTGAACAAAAACAGTGGAGAATGTTCATGTGATGAATAAATGTCTTTCCTTTTCCTTTCATCAGATATTTTCTCTATGATTTCTGACTCCAGTGGGGTGATGGTTTATGGACGATATGATCAATTCCTTCGGGAAGTTCTCAAACTACCCACAGCGGTTTTTGAAGGCCCTTCATTTGGTTACACAGAACAGTCAGCCAGATCCTGTTTCTCCCAACAGGTAGGAGAAAAATATGTTTAAGGAAGTATCTCTTTCAAACAGTGGTTGCTCTCCTTCTAGATGTCATTCCAGGTCACAAATACTCGGACAAATTCTTCTATGTGATAGCAACCTGTAGTGTATTTTTCAGCCTCTGACAAATGACCTCTGAACCAGTCACTAAACCCAGCACCCCTGGATCACAATAATAGACAGTGTTTACTGACCATGAGGCAGGCACTGTGCTAAACTTGTTCCTTTCATTGTCTAATTTAATCCTTACAACAACCCTTCTGTATTAGTCCCTTTTCACACTGCTATAAAGACATACCCGAGACTGGGTAATTTACAAACAGAAGAGGTTTAACAGACTCACAGTTCCGCCTCAGGAAACTTACAATCCTGGTGGAAGGTGAAGGAGAAGTGAAAACCCACCTTCTAAACATGGCGGCAGGAAAGAGAAAGAATGAAAAGCCCAGGGGAATCTGCCATTTAAAAAACCATCAGATCTGCTGAGAACTCCCTCACTATCACGAAAACAGCACGGGGGAAACCGCCCCCATGATCCAATCACCTCCCACTATGTCTCTCCCTCAACACCTGGGAATTACAGTTCAAGATGTGATTGGATGGGGACACAAAGCCTAACCATATCACCACACGCTCAGGGTCATTATTTTCACTATCACTGCACTTTCAAAAGGGCTTAATTGTCTCATTCAGCCTCATGTGAAATACATGCTTGACCCAGCAACAAGCTTTAACGTTGGTTTAACAAAGGATACCAGCAAGGAATCCCAACATCTGCCACATCATGGCCTGAGAGGCCCAAAATATGGCAAACACAGCTGCCTAAATCTTCTACACCATGATATATTTGGGGTTCCAAGTGATGTGTTTTAACTGGGTATGGCTAAAGCTACCCTGGGAAGCTGCATAGTTTAGGGGGCTATCTATGTGTGTACCTCTCCGGTCATGTAGAAGAGACTTCAGGCCCATTCTCCAGCATAGCCCAGTAGTAGCATAGAAATCCATACATCAAAGGTTAGTTTACCATTTTTTGGAAATCCAAACTAACTTTTTTGTCCACTGAAAAGGCCTCTTGACTGAGTGTGGTGGCTCACCCTTATAATCCCAGGACTTTGGGAGGCCAAGGGTCAGGAGCTCAGGAGTTCAAAACCAGTGTGAGCAACACAGGGAGACCCCATCTCTACAAAAAATTTTAAAAACTTAGCCAGGCATGGTGGTACATGCTTGTAGTCCCAGCTTCTCAGGAGGCTGAGGCAGGAGGATAGCTTGAGCCCAGATGGCACCACTGCACTCCAGCCCAGGCGACAGAGCAAGGCCCTGTCTCAAAAAAAAAAAAAAACAACCAGGTATATCCCTGCCCCATAAAATGCATACAAACAAATGCTCACTACACTGTACTTTACTGATTAAGAGTCAGGAAGTCTTTTCTTTTTACTGAAATTAACTTTTAAAAGCGTCAATCGGCCAGGTGAGGTGGCTCACACCTGTAATCCCAACACTTTGGGAGGCCACAGCAGGCAGATCACAAGGTCAGGAGTTTGAGACCAGCCTGTCCAATATGATGAAACCCCGTCTTTACTAAAAATACAAAAATTAGCCGGGCATGGTGGTGGGCACCTGTAGTCCCAGCTAGAAGCAGGAGAATCGCTTGAACCCGTGAGGTGGAGGTTGCAGTGAGCTGAGATTGTGCCACTGCACTCCAGCCTGGGAGACAGAGCAAGACTCCATCTCAAAAAAAAAAAAAAAGGTCAATCACTTCAAAACACAAATCTATTTTTTCATTCAATTTTACTGCTTTCCAACTTTTCTCATGGCATGCTAAATGTACGGCTCCTTTTATTTTTATAGTGCTTTATGCCTCACAAAGTGAATTATCTGATTTATGGCTTGCAACAACCCTGTGACCTAACAAAGAAAATATGATTCATTTTTAACAATATAAAGTTCATAGCTAGTGAGGGCAGGGGGCTGTTTTTAACTCTGGTCTTCTGATTCCATCTGTTAATGTTACTCTTGTGTTCTTGTTGTTGCTTTTGTTTTGTGCACTTTCAGTTCATATTTACAAATATGCAGATGATCTGACTCAAGGAAATGTAACTACCTGTTGTATTACTTCACCCAATCATGGAAACAAGAATAATTTCATTTATATCTGAATTCTGGAATTTTAGGTAGTATATTATAGAAGAATTGGTAAATGTGCTAATGCCTCAGAATACATCTCATTCAAAATCAGCTGGTGTAATAGGACTGGTTTTTTTTTAAAAAAAAAAAAAAGTCTTAAAATGACCTGTGCTGGGTGTGGGGCTCACACAGTAATCCTAGCACTTTGAGAGGCTGAGGCAGGAGGAGAGCTTGAGTCCAGCAGTTCAAGACCAGCCTGGAAAACATAGTAAGATCTCATCTCTGAAAAAACAATTAAAGAATTAGCCAGGTGTAGTGGCACACACTTACAGTCCCGGCTACTTGGGAGGCTGAGATGAGAGGATCCCTTTAGCCCAGGTGTTCAAGGTTTCAGTGAACTATGATTGTGCCGCTGTACTCCAGCCTGGGCCACAGAGTGAGATCCTGTCTCTAAAAAAAAAAAGAAAAGAAAAAAAAGGATCTATGTATTCAAGAATTATATGTGATATTGCCATGTTCAAAATCCCTTTTGAAATATCCTCTAGACTGTTCTATGATTTGTACATATCCTTGATGATAGGCAACTTATACATGTTGAAATCGTAACAACATTGTTGGAAACTTCCAGGAGTGATTTTTAGCCAGTATGACAAATAGTCAAAAGGAATAAGATCATTTCAAGTGTGAAAAGAGGTAACATAAAAATAATAAGACCAGTTTATTTTTGTACTTAATGAATTGGCTATAATAGCTACTCAAGAGTCTGAGGTAGGTAAGAGGAGATAGGAGGATGGTTGAGACCAGGAGTTTGAGTCCAGCCTGGGCAACATAGTGAGACCCCCATCTTTAAAGTAAATAAATAAATATTTTTTTTTTTTTAAATAAATAATATTATCCCATCCCCTTTGATATTCTAGTTCAAAATTTCAAGTAGTGATTTTTGCATATAAATATGTATTTTGTTATTTATACTATTACAGTACATGTATTAATATAGCTTCTTACTTTTATCATTTTGAAAGGAACTTATAGATACAATGCATTCCTTTTGTACATCCAAAAGGACCTGGATATTGAGAAAGAAGCAGACTGAATTGAGAGGAATTATATATAAAGTAATAAAAGGAACAAGTTTTAAAAATTAGATGGCTCTGTCCTAACAGGATTCCTCCTGCTCTTGTATAACAGAACCATTCACATTAACCACTAATTATTTAGTACTTAAGGAAGCTGAGGAAGCTCGAAAGGGAAGTTATTCTATAAATTTAGAAGACTGACTGATAGGAAAATTATAAAGTGAGCTATGATGCATTCTTGAGTAAAATTCCATGGAGAATTTCAATTCTTTGTTTTTCTTCATTATTTTTATACTGTCTTTCATATATACAAATGATGCTCTCAGAATTGTTTTTCTCCTGGTGATACTATTGACTCAGCCTCAGTGGAGAGAATTCAGTCCTATGTATGCTTAGGTATAAAAAGCAAGCAATGTTTTCAGTTCTGAACTAGTTTAATAACACATTTGGCAAGTTCTGTTTCTTCAGATATTAGAGGTTTATTGAGTGCTCTTTTGTTTCAGTCTCAAATGATATGATATTTACATAGCAGGTAAACTGAGATGATTCTCTGTCCTGAATTTATGTTTTTTTGGTTTTTTTTTAATGCAGAAAAAAGTCACGTTAAATGGTTTCTTGGACACGCTTATGTCGGATCCTCCCCCGCAGTGTCTGGTCTGGTTGCCTCTTCTGCATCGACTAGCGAATGTGGAAAATGGTGAGTAGTTATTACCGAGCAAAGGTGATTTTTTAAATTATTGAAATTAGGCCATTAGTTCTACAGTTAGTAAGCCCAGGTCGTTGTTTTAGGGAAGCCTATTTAGTGCCTCTTAGTTTTGTTTAGGAGAGAACTAACCCATCTCCCTGTTCGGGAAGGCCTTAAAGGACCACTGAAAAATTAGGACTGTCAGTTCTAAAAACTTAGTAAATCTCATGGTGTTCTTCTTAATTACAAGTCAGGTGTGGTTAAAAGACTTGGCACAATAGAAGGCGAACTTCAACAAGGAGTGTGACATTATTTTGTATTTGTTTTAGATCTGAATTTCTCATATTTGCATACATGGCACTGATTATTTCTTCCCAGTCACTCAACCAGAAATAGGTGGGAGAAATGAGAAAAAAAAAATAGATCATAGCACCCTGTTAATCTTCAGTCATATGTTCCAGATTGTGAGCTTTCAATAGTTGTACTAACGTTAAAGATAAGAGTAAAATAACTTTCGTATCATGTCTTTTTTTAAAGCAAGTATTTCTAGGATAAAAGGAACTGCTGTTGGCATATCCAGATTTAAGTATGAAATACAGTTTGGGGCAAATTTTACAGAAATTTAAACATGGAACTGTTCAGTGCCTCCATCTAATCTTTCGGTGTTCCTACTTACTGTTCAATGTAACTCTGAAATTTCTCCAGACTTGACGAGGAAATAATTTAGTCTATATCTCTTACTAGAGATTTAACTTAAGTCTCTATATATTACTCAACTTCTGTGTATTTCTTTAATATACATTGAAACTAAAGTTAGCTTAATTTTAAATTATCATTCAGAATTTTGAGCATCTGCCCTTATTTATCTCAGTTAGTTAAAAGTTATGAATTTATCCTGTTTTTCTAATGGAGAAAATTTAAAGAATGAATTTACTTTTTTTTTTTGCAATCACTAACAATCATAGTTTTTTTGTTTATCCATATGCAGAAGTGAAGAGCAATCAAGGTCCATGTTAGTATGCAAAATGAGTTCATGTTACTGTTTACAGTTCTAGAACTAGTCATTTTCCAATCATAAAGCTATAATTTCATTCCTTCTCTCTCAGCATTTCCTGCTGCAGGAGATCAGTTTCTCAGGCACTGTCCCAGAACAGTTGTCCCTAGATTCAAGTCCCACTCTAGTCTTTCTCAAGAGCCAGAAAGGAAGGTTATGACACTTGTTTAGAAGACAGTGCGTCCAGAGCTAGTTATGTCTTTGTTTTTACACTTTGCTTTTTATCTTCATTTATTATTATTTGTAGTGTTTTTCCTGACTGGTTAGGCCAGAGAAGAGCTTTACCAAAGGCAAGAATTGTTATTGTTGTTTTAGTATCTAGCTCATAGCATGTAGATAATTACTTGGATTTTGATCACTTAAATCTAATATTTTACTTCGCTTCAAATCTAATATTTTGCTTTGCCTGCTTTATAATTCAAATTTCCTACCGAAGAAAGTTAACTGTCTCTTGAGGTATCTGAATTATTTAGAACTGTTTTCAGATAACTTACACATCTTTTTTAGGGCCCTATACTCCTGCCTCAGGAAAGAAAAAAAAAATCTGTTTGTCAGATATAGGCAACACCAGTCATTAAGTAAGCCATTAGTCACTCCATTTTTTAAAAAGTAACTTAATTCTCACATCTACATCCAGTTTTCCACTCTCTGCCCGTCTTCCTTTCTTTTTTCTTCCTCGCATTCTCCATGTCTCTGATATTTGCTCTCTTCCTACTGGACAATCGGCATTCACTCCTTGTGTTTCTGAGTCTTCCAGTGAGCTGTGCTGGTCTCCTGGAGACAGAGGGCAGTTTGGGGTAAAGGCAAGTCTGTTTGGGCAATTTAAATTCTTGTTATGTGAGAGATGGGAATAGAAAGAGCAAATGGCATTACAGTGATTTTTGTTGTCAAAAGGACACCTCTTCTCCATCCCATTTCATTTCATTTCCCCACAGGCATGATTGAAAAGGGTTGTGGGAGAATCCAGGAATGAACTAAATGTTTTTCTGAGCCCAAATCAACTATCATCTGAAATCGTGGTGCAGAGAAGAAAGGTACAATTCCTGTAAGGCTGTATTTTTCCTTCTTCTGGTTCATACTTTTGTTTTCTTGTTTTTTCTTCACTTACTTCCCCCTTAGTCTTCCATCCGGTGGAGTGTTCCTACTGCCACAGTGAGAGTATGATGGGATTTCGCTACCGATGCCAACAGTGTCACAATTACCAGCTCTGTCAGGACTGCTTCTGGAGGGGACATGCTGGTGGTTCTCATAGCAACCAGCACCAAATGAAAGAGTACACGTCATGGGTAAGGCAAGGTCCAGGCAATACTTGGAGTTGGATGCGTGAGTGTTGCCCAGAATTAAAGGGAATATCAAGGATGGTGGCAGAATTAAAGGGAAAACTTACCTTCTATCCCAGGTCTAGTATTCAGTCCCCCTTCCTCCCACCCTCCACCCCACTGGGTGCTCTTACTTATTCTGTTGGAACCCAGTGTAGCTTCCTGAGACTTAAAATATAGGAAGACTCAAAACTATGTTACTTCTTGGAATATAGATAATTCAGTACCGATTTAAATAACAACTGAACAGCAAGGACCTTCTGGAACATAGTCTTACATTCACAGTAAGTTAAAATCTTTTCCAAGTTTTGTTTTGTGGAAATGGCTGAAAAATTATTGTTAGTTTTATTTATCTTAGATTCTGGAGTTCTTGTAAGTGCATGACTAGAATATTAAAGAAACAAGTATGAGAGAGGAGAGTGTGGACTTAATAATACTGTTCCATTTTACTTTTCTGCAGAGGGTGGGGAGGGGAGATTGTGGTTATATTAGCAAACCATCTTTTCATGAAGAGTCTGAGTGACCAACCTGGCAAAGGTGGCATGTGAGTGTCTGTGTGATGGAGTCTTCTCAGGAACATGTGGCACCAGGTCTGTGGGAGGAAATGTGACTCTGTGAGCTCATTGTTCAAGTGGATTATGATTTACGGACGTTTACCTTAGTTAAACTCAAAGATCAGTTCCAGCAGTGTTGCCCTTGTGCATCTCTTCAAGGATGGGTTTTTGTAGGGTGTGTAGATTGGATCTTATGGGATATACCTTCAGCCCTTCCAGCACCTCTTGGAAAAGTTCTGTCACAAGAAAATCCAACCTATTTATGAGTTTTGCTATATTTTAATGTATTTCAATTCAACCTGTAGTCTTTACTTAAAGAAGTCTTCAGAATATACTTCTTAAATCAAAATATTCTTCCTAGGAATTATTATTGGGAACTAATATTCAGTATAGGTATACTAGTACTTCATCACCAGTCAGATTCTGAATTCAAGTAACTGTTCTTCACCAAGGCAGAGTATACTGAGAACTTGCCAATTCCAGTGCAACTCCTCACTGTTGTTTATGTCATGCTGAGGATAGATAGATACATGAACACGGATCATGAACTACAATTTAGTTTAGAAGATAGGAGCTAAAACTTTGTTTTCTTATTGTTAGCATATTACCAGTTTTCAAACTTCGACCCCATATCCTAAAAGATTTGGTGTTTGAAAACTAATCAGATTTAGTTGTTTTACGTAAATGCTAAATCCACATAAGGAGCCTCTTTCTTAGGGGTTGTAGACTCTAAAATTATATTCCAGGGCACTGTCCATACAAAGAAGGATCAGACTTCTTGAGAAGACAGAAGGCCCTATGGTTTGTGGTGCAAAGAGCTGCTGTTGCTGCTATCTTAACTGTTCTAAGAATTACATCTCCTAACAAAAGCCAGAGGGATTTCTTGAGCAATGCTCTTATTACTTAGCTTTTAAAAAATGGGGATAATAGTCACTTCATTATATTACCAATTAAGGACTCTAGATGTAAAAGAAAGTGACAAAATTTGAAATGGTTCCTTATGGAAAGAAAAAATATGGTTAAAGTTTTATTATTATGTTGGTGCAAAAGCAATTGCGGTTTTTGCCATTACTTTCAAATGGCAAAAACCACAACTGCTGTTGCACCCACCTAATATATGTGGTAGGCTGCTTTTTGTATAATTTTGACTGCATAATGTCAAGATAAACATCCCAACAATCTAAACGAAAAAGAGGCAGCGTGATTCTCTGGAAATAACCTGAATTTCAAATTCTGAAGACTCAGATTGAAGTTTCATTTTCACTTCTAACTGGATGTGTTCAGCCACACCTGAAACATCTTTCTTGCACCTGGATTCCTGCAAAACCTTCTGCTCATCTTCCTTCCATACCTATTTTCTCACAAACCATTTTCTGTTCTTAAGTGAGAGCAGTCCTTCTAGAATCAGGTCTGATGCTGTCATGCCTGTGATTTAAACTCTTCATGGTCTCCCTCTGTCCTGGGGATAAAGAGACAGTTCTTAACAAGCCATATAAAGATTTTGATGATCTGCCTCCTGCTTTCCTCCCCAGAAGGGCTCCCTTCACTGTTCCTCCATCTCGAATGACCTTCCTAGTCTGCTGAGTTTTTGTCAGAAGGACTCCTGCAGGCCCACTAAGTCCCAGCGAAGGTGCCCCATGCACAATGCCTGCTCCCATTTATTGTAGCATTTGCTGACACTGAGCAGCAGGAGGCCGCTTGTTCAGAAACTCTCTTCCCAGCATTGAGCAAACTTCCGGACTCAGAGTCAGCACTGAAAAGGATTTCTTCCATGAATGAATATCTATTATGAAAAGGAAATCATTTGATAAAATATTACATAAATATTAGCTGTTGTCACTTCTACCTTCCTTCTTCTTTCCAGAAATCACCTGCTAAGAAGCTGACTAATGCATTAAGCAAGTCCCTGAGCTGTGCTTCCAGCCGTGAACCTTTGCACCCCATGTTCCCAGATCAGCCTGAGAAGCCACTCAACTTGGCTCACATCGTGTGAGTATCTCTACCCTCCCGGTAAAGAGAAAATTTTCTTCACGGGCACATGTCTGGAGCTACACAAAGGCGATTCCCTATCAGTGGTCAGCAACCAAGATTTTTCATTTAATTATTTTAAAAAGTCAGAGTAATGCCCTTACAGTTTTTTGTTGTTGTTGAGGTATACAGTACTTCCACCAGGCAGACAAGTGAAATATGCAACACTAACATAATTCGCCTGAAGGTGGAAAATATTTCAGAAAGCTTAGTTAGAAAATATGGATGTTCGTGGTGCCTGCACATTGGAAGTTAACAATCAATGGGATCACTGTGGTAAAAAATGATTTACAGCATATTGTTCCTTAATTTCGTATGTGCCTTGAGTTCCAAATATAAAAGCTCTTTATTGCTCTGCAGACCCAGTTTAAGATGCCAGCAAATCTAGTAATTACTTTTGTTTTTCATCCCAAGCTATATAACTTTAGAAGAATCATAGCCTGTGCAGGGGAAGGGGGAGTGTTGGGAAAATTTACCAGAATATTCAAAGATTCTTTTCTTCAAAGTATGTGTGAGTTTCGTGGCAGAAGGTGTTGGACCAGCAAACGGTCCTTCCAGCCATCCCTGCTACCTCCCGGAAGTTTCATGCCTTTGAACCTCTCTCAGGCCTGGGTGGCCAAGATAACAAGGGGGCTTAGGTAGAAGAAACAATTTTTTCCTTGGTGTTACCTTGGGCTCCTAAGAAGAAAGAGTCTCATTACCTGCTTCTATGCACAGTTAGATAACATGTAGTCACAGATGCCTCCTTATGAACTGCCTGTTGTTTTCCACAGTTCAGTGGAACCTGTCACACCACAGGGCCTATGTTTGCATGTTGACATCAAGAGGTGGGCTGATGGGACCTATCAGTATAGAAATTCAACAATGCAAAGTTCATGCTTCAGGCAGTTCAGCATATGATCCAGAAGGGGCACTGTGGTGGGTATGAGACCTTCATGGAAGCAGCACCTACATTCTCCGACGGACCTTAGCAAATACCACCAAACAATTTGTGCTGCGTCACATCTGTGAGCTTTGTATAAATACTTTGGGGCTTTATTTTGCTTGTTCCTGCGGGTGCTTTGAGACATCTCTGACCTCAGCAGTATACACAGCCTGAAGGCTCCTGTTTCTCAGCTTACAAGCTGGCATGGGCTCAGCCTCCAGAAGCTAATGTAAACTAATTCTGTAGAATGTGGTTAACTTATTTTTGGAAATTATGCTTCTATAAATAAACCTTAAAATAAGCCAGGGATAAATAAATCTGGGGAATGTCCCAAAGGGCCAACCACTTGCAGCAATCTACCTCACAGGAGCTTATGAAGGATTTTATTAAGGTCTAGACTTTCCTTCCCATAGCCAATTAGACACAATCACTAAGTTGCTAATAAATGACCACAGCAAAGTAAGAGCAGCTGGTGCTCCCTGAGCTATGCTGAGAGTAATTTCCTACCAGCCCTGCTAGGAGTTTCACCCCAAGAAAGCAGCCTTCAACGGAACTGCTGGGTGTCATGAAGATAGGGGGTGTGGGTGTGAATAGCCTGGCTCTAAGAGCTTTTCTGCTTCACACTCCTCCAAAGAGTTAGGAAGTGATGTACTACAATGTAAAAGTCTGTTTCACAGTGAGTCACATTGGAGTATTATCTAGCTCAGGGCCTTGTATCCAGTGGGTGCTAGGATTGGGTGGTGTGTGTGTGTATGAGAGAGAGAGAGAGAGAGAGGTATTTAATTGGCTGAGTAATAATTTTTAAATTTTGACTTATGGGGCAATATAATCTGTTTTGTCATTTATTGAAGTAACTGAGGGCTAAGCTACATAATACATTCTTAGTTTATGTTCCATGGAGAGATTTTAAAATTCTGTACAAAATGTGTCTTCTTTTGAGAAAACCTCTATGTATTTTACCAGATCCTCAAGAGTCCTTGAATCAGAATACCGATCTGTACTCACTGATAACATATTTTCCCAGGGTGAAAGTTTTAATTTTAAAATTCAAAGTGTACAAGATATTTAATTGTTGAAATAACATACAAGACATTCTGGATGTAGAATGTCAAGTCTATTTTAGAACAGAATATTTTTGTTCTATTTTTAGCCATAGAAATTTTTTCCATGTTTGTTTCTTTATTCAAATGCTATTGTCATGAGTAGATATCCACGTCTTTTTTCTGAGACTTCTAATTTTAAAATGCATTGCTCATTTAACTATTCTAAATTATCATAGGCACATCAAGGACATTTAAATAAAAAAATAAATGGTATTAAGCCTTAATCATTTATAAAAAAGAATGCTCTCTTAATCTGCCATAATGAACATGTACATGGAATTAATGAATATTCACACTTCTTCCAAATGTATGTAAATAATATTTTGATAAATTAGACAAAAATATATGACATTCCATACCATGTCATTTTATAATAAGCCATCCCACTACTTTTATACAGTGCTGTACAGTGAAAATAAGTGAAATTTAAGAAATAAAACACACCAATACTCCCACCTCCACTTAATGCCCTTAATTTATTACTCCCAAATATGACTTAAATTATAAAGATCTTATGCAGAAGGAATATTGTCGTAGTGCAGAAACATGTGAAGTAAGCTTTATCATTGAGTCTCTAGCAAAAATCACCCTAAAAGTATGTTCCATAGAACTATACATAGCAATAAAAATATATTTTCTAGCTGTAGCTCTGTCTTGGTCATCCTCATTCCCTCTCTGACCTTTCCCTGTGCTTCCCTAAATAATTTATTAAGCAACCTTTAATTGTAGTACAAACCACATCTTTGTCATTCTTTGGGTGTAGTGTCACAAAAATATCCCAGTCCGTATCAGTTGCACCCATGGATAAGCTTACAGACAGAGGTAAGAAGGGAGCAGTGAGTGGGGTGCAAGCATTGGCAATATTGATGGGCATACTCTGTCCTGTGATGACCTGAGGTTGTGGGCATTGGGAATTATAGCACAGACTCAAAATAAAACATTTTGTTTTTGCCACTGTGAAAAAGTGTGTTGATTTTGTAAATTAATACAAATTCTTCAAAGACATATTCAGAAAAAAAGTCCATGATGTAAATGTTTAAGTGAAGGATAACGGTATGTCCTTACATAGTGCTGAAATATGTAGAACATTATAGAGCTCATGGACATAAAATTTGATGTTGAACATTATACAGTCTTCTTAAATGTACATCTTGCTGTTTAATTATTGTGTTAAAAAATGCTGGCCAGGCACAGTGACTCACGCCTGTAATCCCAGTACTTGGGGAGGCAGAGGCAGGCTGATCAAGAGGTCAGGAGATCAAGACCATCCTGGTTAACACGATGAAACCCCATCTCTATTTCTATTAAAAATACAAAAAATTATCTGAGCATAGTGGCAGGCAGCTGTAGTCCCAGCTACTAGGGATGCTGAGGCAAGAGAATGGCGTGAACCCAGGAGACGGAGTTTGCAGTGAGCCGAGATCACACCACTATACTCCAGCCTGGGCAACAGAACAAGACTCCGACTCCAAAAAAAAAACATTGCTACTACATGGCGCATGTATACCTGTGTAACAAACCTGCAGGTTCTGCACATGTACCCCAGAACTTAAAGTAAAATTTTTTTAAAAATTGCTACTAGTCCTCTAATACATACTGCATCCAAAGTTGAGCAGCAAAAGCATTATAAGGTATAAATAAAATTGAGAAAATAATAAATGGAAAATGCTTTATCAATACCTAATGAAAACATTAGAAAATATTTTTATTATTCATTTAAAACTCAAGTTCCAATTTTTTCTTTTTTTTCTTTTTTTCTTTTTTGTAGAAATAGGGTCTCTCTATATTACCCAGGCTGGTCTGGAACTCCTAGGCTGAGATTGTAAGTGTGAGCCACCACACCTGGCCACAACTTAAATGTGAAAAAAGTTGCAAAAATATGGCACAGTCTGACTATGTAACAAATTAACATTTTACAGGTAGACTTAGATATGGTAAAAAAATAAATTTTAAAAAGAGAGACTGAATCAATAGGATTTTTAAACAGGTTATAGTACTAATATCTCTGTCACACACAAACACACACATACATTTGCATATGGAAATGAAGCATGTGACACACAGAAAATGCCTTTTTTTTTTTTTTTACTATAGCCAAGGGATTTTCTACCCATCTTGTAGAGAGGTGCTGCCAGTCATGAATTAGTCCTTAAATAGAAATGAGCAGGTGGTGACATTTTGGTACTTTGACATTTGTTCTTAGCTATTGTATTGCTTGTAAATATTACCATGATTAACGGTCTGTATTCTGTTCAATTTTTCGCTGCCAAAAGTGATACTTGGTAAGTAGTGCAGTAGTTTCCAGTCTACTTATGAAGATGTATAATCATGATCATAAGTGGGGATGAGACACAAAACAAGTGAGCAATATGAGGCTAGTTTAGAAATAAGTCTTCTTGTGCTGTACACTCAGTTTACAAGGATGACACTTACATAAAATTGTCCTCTGTGAAGATCTTGTCCAGAAGGCCCCTGTGACTTACTCTATTTTGTGGAGCTGTTTCTTTTACATAAAACCAAACATGTTCAAAATTCCCAGTGTGGGCCATTTGTTAGATAAGGTAACTTGCCATTTGATTGTGGAAGAAATAGGAATTTCAGTTCCTCTGAAAACCACCATTTGGTGCTGGGGCTGGCCATTCTTTGTCCCAAGTTCAACATTTCAATGGTAGACCTTAAACAAAGCCATTTGCTGAGAAACCTTGATTTCAGCTTTGTAGTGACCGGATTCAATAGAATACATTTATCAAGCTAGTTAAAAAGCATTCTAAATCCACTTGTTTTCTCATTTTTAGACATGGAGGAAGATGGAAAAGTTAAAAAAAAAAAAAAAAAAGACAAAATCAGAAGTGTCAGGTCAAGTATTTTTTTTCAACTCTTTGCAAAGCTACGATGAAAATGTTATCCTCTGTTCACTGTTTTAAAATCTAGCAGATCAAACTTTTCATAATTCACAGAGGACATTTGTATAAAATTAGCATCCTTCTTCTAAATTGCTAGTGTTCAACTCAAAGCAGAGTTAGTTTTAAACTAGCCTTGTGTTGCTCCCTTATATATCAAAGATGCATCTTAGATAAGTAATGCAAAACACTAAGATTGTTTTCAGAACTTCAGTTTTGTCTAGAGTAGATGAAATAGTGAATCTGTTGTTTTGGCTTCGTCCAACAGATGATATGTCTTATAAAATCTCAGAGTATAGGTTAGCACCAGCTACCATGAAAAAAGTTTCAGTGAATTTATGTTATTTTTTATTTTTATTTTTTTATTTTTCCCTAAGTTATTGGGGTACAGGTGGTATTTGGTTACATGAGTAAGTTCTTTAGTGATGATTTGTGAGATTTTGGTGCACCCATCACCCGAGCAGTATACACTGCACCATATTTGTAATCTTTTATCCCTAACCCCAGAGACTGTTATTCTAAGTCTCAGTGAATTTTTGCATGTAGTGCTGACATTTTAAAACCTGCAGAGCTTCATGTCCATTCCAGTCAATACATTGGGATATACAAGTCTATCTTTTTCCCAGAATGTCTTCGTTGTAGAATCCAAAGCTGTTCTCTAAAGTAAAAATTAAACCATTTACAAATTTGGCTCTTAATCAAGCCAACATAAATTGATTATTTAGGCTGCTATAATTAATGTCTCATCTTCAAAATGTTCTATACTGTCAAACTCAAATATAGAATTATAGTGAAACTGAAATTTCCTGTGATTCAGAAAATGCCCCACCTCATTTTCCATCTTTTGAACTCTAAATCCCATCTCATATTACCATTCATTATCCTATATTGAACCTAAAAAAGACTAAAAATGCCTTGGAGATGAGATATGGATCTTAGTCCTATCATTTTACCTGACCTAAAACATTCATGATAGGAAAAGAATGACAGAATGAAATGAAAATCAGACCAAGGAAGATGGACTCCATGCAGTTGGTGTTCAGAACCATGAACAATTCTGAGGAAAATTGAACTCTGTTTTCCTTCTCTTATCATAAGAAAACAAGTGAAGCTTATGGGATGCCGTACACCATATACTCTATCATATGGACCACCCAAACAACAGAAACTAACTTCATAAATCCTTGTGGAGCTTACTTGCCTCTTCACTTAGAGCAAAGGCAAATAAGGTATGATATGGTTGTACAGCCTGTGTCCTTTCAGACCAGGCATGTTGGAGAGGCCCGTCATCATGGAGAACACAGAAGGAACCTTCCAAAGCCTCAGGAAACTTCCACTTTCCAAGAGAACGTAGATTCAATGATCAGGTCTTCAAGGCTTCTTGAGAAGGCAGTAGAAGTAATACCACTGCCTTCTTCAAAATCCTTGTTTCATTCCAGAATATTATACAATGAAACATCAAGGCTCAAAGCTCACATCAACATTCACATGGTTTCTGGAGATCTGCCTCCCAGTGTTTACCTGAGATTATATATTCTCAAGGAAATGTTACTTTAAAACACTTAAGGAATTTAATTGGAAAATGTAAGATTTCTTGTTGATCCTGGGAAAGATAGAACTCAGATCTTCCCATCCCCTTTCCTGGAAGGATGAGGGAGAGTTTTAAATGTGTGACTTTTATTTGTTTAACTTTCTATTCACACTGTCTTTTGTTTTAGGCCTCCCAGACCTGTAACCAGCATGAATGACACCCTGTTCTCCCACTCTGTTCCCTCCTCAGGAAGTCCTTTTATTACCAGGAGGTAAGTTCCAACCCTATTATAAAATAAGCCCTTTCTTTGGTAATGAGCCTTGATTTTGTGGTAACAAAAATATTCTCATGCAAGCCAAGGGCAGAATATTATTACTGGAAACAAGCTTGCAAATATCCATTATAAGTTTTCAATTTCATTCATTTGTATGCATTTAAAGAGGGGTATGGTGGCTTTGGGGATTAATGTCATGTCTGGAAACCTGCATTTATAATGTATCCACAGTAAGAATGTGGGGTATGTTTCAGTTTTACTGCTGACACATATGCTTCCCATCTTATTAAGGAAGTCACTTTCATAGTCCTCAGAGTGGTCTGTTGAAGTCAAGAAACTGGAATTTCAAGATGCAATGGTGTGTTATTATATAAATGGTGAAGCGTATCATTATTTAAAGCTAAGATACAAAAGAATCCTTTGTTGGTGAACCCTGGAGTTCCTGAGGCTAGAGGCTAAAGACCAAACTTGGAAATGTAGTTTCCATATAAGCAATGTCATCGATAATAATAATCACTTTTTTAAAAGGTGGATCTGCATCTCATTTCTTTGCACAAGATCCATTCCCATGTGAGCAAGAAACAGGAGAAGCAAATATTTCTCTAAGAGTTAGCATCAGACATATGCAGGGTCAAGAGGTGCTCTGAGTCATTTGATCAAATAATTGCGAATCAAGCACCAGATAATTATTTTATAAATACATGAAGAAGGCTCATGGGAAAGCAAAAACAAAGGTAAGGAAAATTGGAGTGAGTAATTGAACATAAGATTTCAAATGCCTTTCAGCAGAAAAAAAAGTACAGCCTCATATTTCACAAAATGCACATAATTCATCTTTTCCCTGAAGAGGTTTATAAGGTGCCAGTTTCACTCTAATATCCTGGTACATTCAACTGAGGATTTGAAGACAATGAGACTAAGAACACAGCTGATTTTTTCTTCTGAGTTCCTGTATGTGCCCATCAACAGGAACCTGAGATGAAGATGTTCCCCATAATTGTAATTAGCAGAATAAACAGAATATGGTGTTTCTGATGTATAAACAAGTTCTGTAACAAGCGGAAACGAGGAGACAGTTTTATACAGCAGAACATCCACAGTAGAATAATATGGTTTAGGCCCTCAGTAACTTCCTTTTAGCACTCCTTTTTAGAATCACCAGCAAATTCAACCTTTTTTTTTTCTGGAACGAAATCATAAACTGTAAAGTCTGTAAAGAGACACAGGTGTGCATCTGTATAGGGAAGACCTGACGTGATGTTTAGAAATATGTATTTTTATTAGGAAGCTCTGCATTCTGCAAATGTCAAGCAGAGGTAGACCCCATCCTTACTGAAGGTCATTTTATATCATTTCAGCTCGGACGGTGCTTTTGGTGGATGCGTCTAGATGGATAACATGACTTCTTCTACCCTAAAATATTCCTATAATACTTTGAGCTGTTCTGGTTCCTCCAGGGTGCATGGTACCCATTAACCCAAAATATGATTATTTCCATTTTTTCCCATTTTCAGTCCTTTTGGAATGTTCTCTGTGAACCATAGATATGTTGTTTAAAGCTCACATTTCTTTCTATCACCACAGAGATTGGCCTACGGTTTCTGTTTTGAGGGTGCTATTCAATAAAGCTGTGTACACTAAATGTCTTTCCTCTCTGAGTGGGCCTTGCTCTGTCCATGGGAAGTTTTAATGAGGTCTCATTGTTTGAATCCCTCAGGTTACCTGAGGGGATAAGTGCATCCAGCCCTGTGGCTGAAGAGCATTCCCTCATAAAGCAGTACGTAAATCAGCTTGATCACGGTGCACGGTCAGTATCCCAGCCCTGAATTGCTAATCATAGTAGTAGTTCCATAGCTAGACTCATAGTCATTCTACTCTAGCACTAAAATCCTCTCGTAGTATGTCTTATTGGAGATAGAGGTCTTCTGGGGTTTAATGAAATTGTGTTGAGACTTTTCAACTTGAGCTGGACTTTGCAGCTCTTTCCTCTCCTTTCCACATATTTTATGGATTTCATAGCTTCATACCAGTATATAAGAGATGTGTATATGTGAAGTGTATCAAGCTGGATCTTGTTTGGACAAGTCTCTGCTTTTGTACAATTTGCAAAAACCCCAGATGGTAATTTCTAAGACTCTTGAATTAAGGAGTCTATTGGAAAGATCCTTAACTAGGTGAGGCTAGGACAATGTCATATAGCTGGACCTCATTGCAGTTAAAGACTTGAGGACTTGTACCTTTCTGTACCATTGGACCTGATCCATTTTCCCCCTAGGGAGGACAGTCTGATTCCTAATGAAGTAACAATTTCAAAAACAGTTGCTTGGTCTCAGTGCTTATTCTCTATCACTTGATAATGCTGGTGGTAAATCACTTTTGATTTCTTCATCATATTGATAAACTCAGATGGATAGAAATCCATCATGCCAGATGTAGGCAAAAGTTAAAGGTCCTGTACTTCTATCATTGAAACAGAACCAAAGAAATATGACCTACGGCTCTGCCCTCACCCCTAGCCCATCCCAACAATGAAATAAAACCTAAGCAAGCCAAGTATAGTGCCGGTCAGTATAGGGCAGCACCAAGAAAGTAGGTAAGTTCTCCATATTTTCTTTAGCCTAAGTTCAGTCTTTTGTATCATGACAGATCCTAGAAAGATAAAGCCAAATGAGGATGAATTGAAATCCCCACTCCAGAATCCTCCCCACAAACTCCTGGCATTATTCACCTAGGGCTCTTTACAAGCGTACCACTTTGATCTTCAAAAGACACAGGGATAAAACTTTGAAATCTTTCGACATCCTAGTAATCTACTTCATACAGATTTATGAGTGTGTACCTCTGGTTACCAGCATCATCTGTCTCATTCCCTTTTCTTACATCTTTTTTAGCTATGTACTTGATTCACTTTTCCTTTACTTAAAAGGAAAAAAAAAAAGGGATTCTCAAAGGCACTCTCCCTTGGTCCTTTGAAGTCTTCTTACATGTGTGTATGTCTGTGTGTGTGTGCACATGTGCACATGTGTACATTCAGTGCTGGTTAGAAGTTAGGTAGAATGTGGGTCATATAACATAATCAATGGACCGATTCACTTCATTCATTTTCTTGATTGTAAACTATATGCCTAAATCTATTATGTTTTCTTATAAATTTATAGGAAAGAATGGCTGATTTGAGGGAAATCTATTATCACCACTAGGGAAAGAGCTCTAAGAGCTATGTATGGTGAGCCAGCAACATTATCTAAGCTTATGAAAGATAGCTTATTATTATTATTGCAGATATTATTGCAAGGACTGACCACAAAGCCAGGCCCCAAAGGCTCTTTCTCCCCTTCACTGCCCACAGCTCTGTGCCTCTTAGGATCTGCTATCTTTTTTGGCATCATGCCTCCTTTTTAAAATCTTAATTATCTTGCCATAATCCTTACTTAGTTTAGATGAGAAAGTTAACCAATACTTTTTAACGTCAAGTAAACTTCTTTCACTGTGACCAGACTTCTTCATTAGTCACAGTAAAGACTAATAAAAAAAATTAGTCACACTCCTTTTACTTCCAATTTTAGAAACATCATTTAAAGTCTTCACAGGTATTTTCATAGTTGCAACCTCTAAAGTGGTAAGCACTCACAAAAGGAATCACGTTGACTATACTATATAACATCTAGCCAGGTCTTATCACTCCACCAAATATTAGGAAATTGCTTATAATTCATATTGCATGTTGAACACAATCTAATATGCTAGTTTTTGGTTTGCTGCAATAACAAGTCATTAATTAATCATACTGTATTAGATGTCCGGGCATGGTGGTTCACGCCTGTAATCCCAGCAATTTGGGAGGCTGAGGCGAGTGGATCACCTGAGGTCAGGAGTTCAAGACTAGCCAGGCCAAAGTGGTGAAACTCCATCTCTACTAAAAATACAAAAATTGCCCAGGCACGGTGGCGGGCGTCTGTAATCCCAGCTACTCAGAAAGCTGAGGCAGGAGAATAGCTTGAACCTAGGAGGCAGAGGTTGTGGTGAGCCAAGATCGTGCCATTGCACTCCAGCCTGGGCAACAAAAGTGAAACTCCATCTCAAAAATAAATAAAATAAAATAAATTTAAAAATGATACTGTATTAGGCTCTGTAGTTCCTATGAGGAGAGTGCACCCCCCCCAGATACTTCCCAAATCCTGATCCCTCCAAGAGGAGCAGCAGTTGTGAGTTATTTTTTGGGTTGTCTTGTTGGTCAGTTGATTGATAGGTTTGGGTTTTCAACCCAAGAAATGCTAATTCAATGTGCCTTTTTCATTTTTAAAAAATGTTTTTGCTTACCCAGAGATTCTTTACTTAACAACCCTGGCTTTTAATCTGACTCAAAAAGTTCAAGCTACATTTTAAATAGTTGTGATTTGGTAATCAAAAGTGGCTAAAAATAAATTTGAGACACTGAATGCAGCCTTTCCTTTTGAAAATCAAAGTTTTCTTCATATCTATTTTTTTCTAAGGTTAATGCCCATCTATTTTCAGTCATAAAACAGATAAATTTTTTAATCAACATCTGGCACCACCCTGAAGATTTCTCACTCTTTTCAAACTTTCTGGGCATGTTGTATGAAATTTTATGAATTTGAAATAATCACTCTCTGCAGATAATTCTTTACTTCATGTAGCCCCAGAGCTCCACTAATATGTTAGATTTTTCCAAACCAGAATTACACCAGTCTACACATCAACCCTAACAATTTTCTATACTAAAATGTTAGTGCATGATTAAAACCACAGTCACCTATCTTGTTCAGTTCAGTAACCTTTATTCTCCTACTAGAGTTGCTTTGGCTATTGTCTCTGCATGCCCTGTACCAACAAGCAAACTTTCCTAGAGGCTGTCTTGACTAAAGTGTAATTGGTGTGACTTGATGATACCTGGATACAATGTAGTAAATTAAATATGACCTAATAATTCTTATTTTTTCCATGGTACCTGTTTGAGATGGTTCAGCTTCTATGCCAGCCTGAATTGATGACAGCTAATTTTCCCACTGAGACACTAACCTATTTTTTAATACTGGTCTATGAATTTTCAGGTAATAGATATTTTATATTTCAGATGTAAGCTACTGAAATCTAGAAAAAAAGAATGTTTCAAGACATTATTTCTTGACAAAACAGATTTGTGGATTCTTTTTTATTGTATTTAAATTAGTGTGATGGCCTTACTACTAAACTATGTAATTCTAGTGAGAAGGAAAATTTTATACACTATAAATAGTTACTTAAGGAGACAGCCAACTTTGTAAGTGATTCTTCACAAATCCAAATGTCACACAAGCTTATTAATAATTTAAGAATAGAAATGAAAATATCTGTTCTTAATTTGCTATATTTCAAATATTGTTTTTCTTTTAACCATTGTGATAATTATTCTATATTAATATAATTTGTTTCTATAATATTTGTTCTCTGTGAGACTGCAGCCAGGCCTTTAATATCATGTTCAATAAAAGAAAAAATCATCTTTGTCAAGGGCTAATATAGTAACTCAACATTAGCAGAAGTGGTTTTTAAAAATATATTTCATGTATCCAGGAAGCATCTGTGTGTGATTTGTTACCTTTGGACCAACCCACAAATATTTTCACTGAAGTAAAACTATTGGCATCAGTCATCACCCTTCAAAGCTAAGGGGATAATTTTTTAAATAAGTATGAAACATTTTGAGATTGTTCTACTTTTCCAGAACCCATTGTGTCATTTTGTGTGTGTGTGTGTGTGTGTGTGTGTGAAAAATTTTGGAAGAAAGTTTTTTATGTTCATCTTTAGATATGCTACTTTCCAAAGGTCTAAAAAGGAAATGATGAGAAGCTAGAGGATTTTTGTTAGAAAAAGAAGTCTAAAGGAATATTTCCTACCTTTTTTCTTTCAGCAGATATATGAACTTCAAAATTTACCATGCCATGCCCTCCACAACCATCGGTGATAATGTGTGTGTGAAAGGATATGCACATACAGTGGCAAGGGATTAGTGAACAGAAAAAGATGATAAGAAAAAGAGATTTGTGTGCATATAATTTTAGAAATGATAGTCTTGCTTCTCTTTGAAACTCAGATTAGAAAAGGTGTATCCCATGGTCAAGTTGAACCCCAAATAGTTCCCAGTTTCAGAGCTTAAAAGGAAGAATACATTCTGATTTGAAGACAAGGCATGTAGAACAGAAGCAGCTTTTGAAGCTCAGGCTGGGTTGTATGAAAGCCACTGTCACATTCTGACACAATGATATGCTGGAAGCACTCTTTCCTTAGTCAGGAAGTAGGTTCCATTGTGCCTGATCCTAAATCCCACAAAGAATTAGAAACTTAACTTCTCCATGCAAACCGCCAAGCTACAAAATGAAAGTTTAGAATCGAAATTAGTCTATGAAAGACTGTGATAATATAGAGCCTTGAGGGATTATTGTAAGCCCCACATCGTTACTGTTTTAGTCCTTTGTGTTGCTATAAAGGAGTGCCTGAGGCTGGGTAATCATCGAAGAAAAGAGGTTTAGGCGGGGCAGGGTGGCTCATGCCTGTAATCCCAGCACTTTGGGAGGCCACAGCAGGTGGATCACCTGAGGTCAGGAGTTTGAGACCAGCCTGGACAACATGGTGAAACCCCATCTCTATTAAAAATACAAAAAAAAAAAAAAAAAAAAAGCTGGGTGTGGTGGCAGGTTCCTGTAATCCCAGCTACTCGGGAGGCTGAGGCAGAAGAATTGCTTGAACCCAGGAGGTGGAGGTTGCAGTGAGCCGAGATCGCACCTTTGCACTCCAGGCTGGGCAACAAGAGCAAAACTCTGTCTCAAAAAAAAAAAAGAAAAAGAAAAAGAAAAGAAAAGAGGTTTATTTGGGTCATGGTTCTGCAGACTGTACATGAAGTATGGCATCAGCATCTGCTTCTGGTGAGACTTCAGGCTGCTTCCACTTACAGCAGAAGGCAAAGGGAAGCTGGTTTGTGCCAAGATCACATGAGAAGAGAGGAAGCAAGCCACAGAGAAGAGGTGCCAGGCTGCTTGTAACAACCAGCCCTCAAGGGAACTAATAGAGTGAGACCTCACTCATTGCTGTGAGAATGGCACCAAGCCATTCATGAGGGATCTGCCCCCATAACCCAAACACCTCCCATTAGGCCCTATTTCCGACATTGAGGATCAAATTTCAACATGAAGTTTGGAGGGGTCAAATATTCAAACCATAGCAATCACTGTTTTCACAGCAACTCAAGAGAAAAAGTTTCACTTTGCTGGAAGAGGTTCTGGTGGAAAGTACTTCAAGTGAAAAGACTTTAAAGACCCAAGTTTTAAGTGAAACCTGTCTCCCAGTCAACTCTCAAGGTTCTTGATTCATTTCATTTTGAAAGAGTGGCCATTTTTGTCTTGTTTTCATCATGCATTTGGCTTCCGCTATACGTGGTCATATTTTTGGCTTCCTAGAAAGAGATGATGAGAAGAATTTGAAGCTAACTCTAGATATTACAGAAACTATGTGAACAGTGAGTATCAAAAAGTTAGAAGTTCTTCTGGCACTAGAAATTAAGAGCTATAGCAAAACAAAATAGTTTATTTCCAGAAACTCATAAATGTTCATGGTGTAACTCCCCTATTTTCCAAGAATTGTTTTTTCTAAGAATCCGCATGGGAAAGGAAAGGAAGATAAAAGGTTTTAAACTATTTCTTTAAACCAACACCGGCAAGGGCCAACACAAAGAAAATGACAGCAAAAGTTAAGAGATGTATATACATAGAATATGTCTCATTCCTTTGAGGGAGGAAGGGACCTGGTTAGAAGAAGGAAGAAAAGGAAGAGGAGAGGGGAGACAGGCAAGTGGAATAGGGGAAGGAGGAGAGGAGCCCAAAGATTTGAAGAAAAAAAAAAGGAGAAGGCCACCAAAGGAAAGTCCGGCCTATTGCCCCCTTCTCTCAGCCCTACCCCTACACAATACCGAGGCTAGGGCTCCTTCATGCTTGGGCTTTGTCAGTGGTGGGTGGTGGAACCACATTTCTGGGCCTTCACTGACACATCTTCTTCCTCCCATAGAACTTCACCAGAATAATTTGTGGCAAACACATCTTTGTGGTTGACCTTCCTGTGTTTCTTTTCTCTACTGATTCTTGCTTGTTATCTTGCACATTCAGTGTGAGAGGTTGTCCCTGTGCAATTATTCGGCTATTTGCTTAAGAAATTATTGCCACAATCTCTGGGATTCAAGGAACAAAGAAGCATAAGAAGGCAGGGAGATAGTTTAGTTTGGAGGGAAGACTTATGGATGTTTCACACAGTGTTTTGAATGGTTTTCCAAGCATCTGAAATAAATTATGTAATAGATTCATCTATCTTTAGTTACAAAAAGTAATTGGGGGGATATTGGGCAGCAGGGGTACTGTAGGTACTGCATAATGAATGTATGGAGATCTGCTTCAGTAGACATAGTTTGGAATGCAGTTTTGGTGGGGTAATGGTATATCACAGAAAACAAAGTGTTTTGGTGGGATAATGGTACATCACAGAAAATGATGGCTGAAGGTGGTTATGTGGCCCTGATGGGCAGGTTTTGCAGTTTTAAGAGGAAAACATCAATATGCTGGATAAAGATAAGTATTAAGGTCATCAGGAAAGTAAATTCTCCTAAAACACAATCTAATTTATTTTTAAAGTCAATTTTGGGTCAGGCATGGTGGCTTACGCCTGTAATCCCAGCACTTTGGGAGGCCAAGGGGGGAAGATCACTTGAGGTTGGGAGTTCGAGACCAGCCTGGCCAACATGATAAAATCCCATCTGTACTAAAAATACAAAAATTAGCCAGGCATGGTGGTGTGTTCCTGTAATCCCAACTACTCAGGAGGATGAGGCAGGAGAATCATTTGAACCTGGAAGGTAGAGGTTGCAGTGAGCCGAGATCGTGCCACTGCACTCCAGCCTGTGTGACAGAGTGAGACTCCATCTCAAAAAAGAAAGTCAATTTTGTTTGGATACAGTTGAACTTTTTAAGTACAGCAATAATTTGTATAACAGATGCCTTTCTGAAGAGCTGAGTGAAAGTGTCATTCATCTGCCAAACATGCATGTCTACTCTTTGCTAGTCATTTTCTTTACAAATCAAATTTAATATTAAATTTATCAGAGACCTCACTATTCAAGGAATCTTTTAATATACACTATTATAAAGCAAGAATTCCAACTATAATGTACATAGTTCTAATGTGATATGTATAAATTTGTATTTTTTAGTGCTTCATGGCCTGAAAGAATGGTGCTTTATAATAGAGCCTTAAAACTTGTAGTATAAAGTTTTTAAGATTTTAATTTATAAACCATTATATATATTTAGTAGATTTAGAGTTTCTTGAAAATTTTTGGCAGAACCTCGTAATTTATATCCAAGTAGTTAAATATTTGGTATTCAAACAAAGACAGACAATTTATTTTTCTATTTTCCATGAAGGAGTAGGTAATTTTAGGTTTACCAGTGTGCAGGGCAAATTCTTACTTAACCTATAAAGGAGCAAACTTTCTTTAAACACATTACCAACCAATACAACTGTAATACTAAGAATTAATACCATATTTCTCAATGTAGTGTGACTACAAATTGTCACAGTAGATTTTGGATGACTTTACTGTAGCCACACATAATGAATTATTATTTATATTTCTGTTTGTACTTTAATAAAACTATTTTAAACTTTAAAATTGCCCTTTAAATTACTAAAGAAAATGAGTAGTTCCCATAATGAATCTATAATGTTAAGAATTTGCTTTAGCAATGAGACTATATTCACTAGCTTTGTATTAATATAAACATAAGAAATAACAACATATATATATAAGACTCAAAGGTATGTTTCTCTGAAAATTTTCTTTGTAGCTCCACAGCCAAGATCATGTGGCTTTTGCTTGGAGTAGTAAAACACTTCCAATATGAAACAATCTCTAGCTAGGTAATTTTCAAGTCTTTCTATTCAGCACAGAAAGTTGGAGGATGCAGGGAAGGCTAAAGTTCTTGAGTGGGATCTAAAGGCTGGCAGGACTTAGTGAACTGCTGGACTGTTTACATGCTAAGCCATGATAAATGTTGAATGAATTTTCATTATGTCTAGACATACCCAGTATAAATGCTTTCTTGTTAAGCAAATAGCAGAGGTCAAATCTGGGATCATGGTGATTGCGGTTGTGTTCTCAGACTGGGTTTCTACTCCTACTTGAACTCTGTGGAAATCTGAAAACATCTTGAACATTTCAAAATAATAAGAGATCTGTCCAAATGGAACTTGGATCTAGACTTGGGAGTGTCTGTTGCCAGTTTCTATTCTTGAATGCATTGCGGTGTTTACGCTCTTCTTGGCTTTCCCATCTTATTAACTAGCTCTCCTCCCAAGGACAGTGAAGTAGAGCAGAACAAACTGCTGGCTAGGGCTGCTCCAGCTTTTCTGAAGGGCAAAGGGTAAGTTTCAGCCAGAGTGTACTGGAACCCTGCATTAACTAAACTAAAACTGGAGATTTCTTTTGTCAAAAATGCTTTGTGTGTGAAAGACCATCTTTGATTCAGTAAAAGCAGCTCTGCTCTAACCCAATTAACAGCACTAAGTAGTTATTTCCAGTAGACACATCTTTGTTATTCACTTTCCCAGATTTGTGTCTTTTTCTTTTTTGAAATGACTAAGCTGAAGATTCGATTTTCTGAAGGATATTTAATCTTTGCTTGCAACCCATTTCAATGTATTTACTGTACAGATGAATACCTTGGCCTTAGTGGTTGAAAAATGTAAATCTGTTTTCTAAAACTTTATTTGACCTAAATGAAAGTCTATTTTTAAAGTTAGTGAAATAGAATTGTGGGTTTTATTGCCTGGATTTCGCTTGTGTTTTTCATAGCACATCACTTACTACCCCCTTCCTTTACTTGCTTGGTTTTCTAAATGTCTTTTCTACCAAAAACTCACTCCTACCATCTCTGCTTATTTCTGTCCACCTCTCTTAACAACACCCTTTCTTTCCCCCTGCCCTGTTTCAGGATACAGTACAGCCTGAATGTGGCAGACAGGCTAGCTGATGAACATGTTCTCATCGGGTTGTATGTCAACATGCTCCGGAACAACCCCTCATGGTTAGTGCAGGTTTGGCTGCTTGACTGTCCTTAGAGAGGGATGCAGTCTGAGCTGGTGACAAGCAGTCTCAGCAAGGAGCAAGGTCACTGGATGCCAGTGGTGACCCTGAAGCACTGTTAACTGATTCAATTAAGAAGTCTTTTGTGATGTTAGTTTGTATACTTCCCATGAAGAAACCATAAGATTCATATCCTTGTTTATATATTAGCTAAAGTGAAAACTTGCATAAAGGGATGCCTTGCTAAATATTAGCCTTCAGGTAGATTCAGGACTCCGGGCCCCACCATTCAGTTCTGTGCTAACATGTCATGCCAAATTACCACAGGATGGTGATACAAGAATTTGTCTTATTCCAAGGACATGGATGTCTCTGCTAATTTGGAAAACAATGCTTCATTTTACTCAAGACAAGAGTGAAAAAGAAAAAATGTGATGTAATTGAATCACAAAATGGAAATCATTTCTTTAACAATGATAACAGTGGGAACAATTGTCTTTCAGCAATTCTATTATACATGTCTCTGATGATCATCCTGCTAAAGCCTGCTTTTACATCTTGGAATACACAAAACTTAGTTTCAGAAATGTTAAATTCAGAAATTAAGATAGCCCTGTGTGCTTGGATAAAGCCATTCAAAAGGCTTTTCTCCATTTTAATTGTGACATAGGAGACTCCTTCCACTGGTTAAAGTTACTTGATGTTAATAATAAATGTAGATTTGCAACTTGAATTAAAGGAAAAGGACAAACTATGTATTTATCATGTGTATTTTTCAATCCAGTTCAGACGACTGTTTTATAAACATATTTAGCAAACCAGTTCCTTGAAAATATGTCAATTTTTCTCAACCACTTCAATTTTCTCTGAACTAAGGACCCATGGATTTTCCATAGTTATAATTATTAAGAGAGCCAATGGGTTCAATTTCCATTAAAATGTTTCAAACCTTTAGCATCGCAAGTCCTCTTTCCTCTACTATTAGAGGAAAAGTAATTGGCAAAATTAATGACAATTACATTAAAAGTAATGGCAAAAACTGCAATTACTTTTGCACCAAGCTAGTATTTCACCAACGCATCCCTCAGATGCTAGGCCATTGCTCCGTGCTCCTTGCCCTCACCACTTGATGTTATTAGCCCCTGGATCTCTCTCCTCCTCACTTGAATATTTTCAAAATTTTCTTCCTATTACTGCTTCTTAGACCTATTTTTGCAAGATTAGTACATGAGATAATTTTTAGTTCTCATGAACTGATGAACATTTATGTGCTTTAGTACGTACATGTATCTAAATTTATGTTTTTAATAATGTATAACCGGTATACTAGTTTAATTTTACCTTAGATCCTGCTGTTTAAGGTGATAAAAATGCACTCTTCGGCTGACCTAAATCCATCCCTTTCTTCAAATTTTGTGAGCTTCTAGATTAAATAGTATCCACTTTTTTACAACTCAGCCTCTCAAAACTACAAAATGGCTTTATTGCCAAGGAGTTTGGTACTCCAGTGTTACATGGTAGCTGAAACAGTAGAACTAAGCACTGAATTTTTTTTGTTAATGGTATTGTTCATCTTTGACGAAGAATACAGTCAGTATAGATTCAATTGTAAGGCAATGATGCAATCTCACCCTGTGTCCTCTTCCCATCATTCTAAGCACACTCCAGTTATTTCTACTGCTCTTTCTTGACCTTTTCTTAATTAAGGTTGTAACAAATAAATCTCCAAAGAGAAAAGCTCAGAGTTTGTCACTACCAGCCATTTTCTCTACTCAAGTGATTCATCATATTGACTTGATGGTTACTTAAGACCATAAATCTGTCTCAGCAGAGACACCTTGCATCTGCTTGATGAAAGCTAAATGTGATTTGTATTTTGAAAACAAAGCAGAATTTAAGACCAACCAATCAATGAAGGAGGCTTTGTTTTAATAGCTTCACCCTCCGTATTTCTCATAGTTTTTTTCTATCCTTAAAAAATTCCAACTTTTTCAAATTTCTTACGTTTTCTTCCCTTTTCTTTATGTTTAATTAGATCCTAACAATTCCTCACAGCTGTCATGATTCTATAAGTAACGTAATGACCTCTTACCTCCTTTAACATCATTGTAGCTACAATACTTTACCATCAAGTCACAGTGAGACATATAATAATAGTAATAATAATCGTGTTTTCAAAACACTTACCTCATGCCAAGCTCTACGTTCAGAGCCTTGTATACATAATTTCTCCTTAAACTAGTCCTTAAATTAGTTCTTAAAGTAAGCCCATGGAGTAAATAAGATCGTCTCCCTTTTATAGATAAGTAAAGGTATCATTTTAGAGAGCTTACCTGACTCTCCCATAGTCCTACAGCTATAAAAAGTGGGACAGAGATTTTAACCATTATCCATCCAAGTTCATAACCACTGTGTTTCATCACCTTTTTTAAAGTCTGCATCAACACATGCCTTTCAGGATCTTTTGTGGATACCTCCTTCACACTGCGTCCTCCACGTATTTACTGAAACTGCATATCTTATTCTAGTGTTTTTATTTGATTTTAGCAAACATTTTGAGCACATACTAGTAACAGGAATGGTGATTCTTAAAAGTTACCTTTTATGTATGCAGTTCCTTGAGTTGTGACTTCTCACGTTAATTGTAAGCTTCAAAAAGGGAAGAGTTTTGTCTTCAGTTTCTTTTATCTCAACAGCTGGAGTATGAATACTAAATTTTGTATTTATAAAATGCTTCAAAAATTACAGAGCCTTTTTCCACAAATTATTTAATTTACTTCTCATGGTCCTAGAAGGTTGGATATGATTATTTCCATCTCACTGTTTAAAAAATATGAGCTTTGAGACATTAAGTGACTTATCTAAAGTCACATGCTAGTAAGTGCTTGCAAACAGGTCCTATGACACTGAGTCCCATCTATTTTCCACCCTATTCCTTAGCCTCCTTGTCTGTGCACCCTTCATGAGATGCTCCGCAAACAGGAACCTTATAGCCATTCTCCATCAAAAGCTTTGTTTTTGCCGTTATTCAGACATAATCCTGATTAACTCTATGTGGGGGTCTTCTACCCTATATTAACTACTTAACACAATGGGAAACTAACTTATTTGTAATAGTTGGCTACTAAAGAAACACTTATGTCATTGCTGGTTCTGATGTCAGATAAGTAAAATAAATAAACTGCAGCTCAAGGGAGAATTTCTGCTTCCTTCCTAATTCAATGAAGTTTTAAAAGCCTTAATAATTTGTATGCATCTTCTTCATTGCAGGAGAAGGAGTCTGAAAATGTGATACAGTAGGCTTTTACTACCTGCCCCCAAAGCTTGTCAAGTGCCTGGGCTTGTTAGTTTATAGCCAGGGTCTGTAGTGGACCAACCAAATGATTTGAAACCAGCCCAGAACTTCTATCTCTAACCATTGTCACTTGATTAGACACCTGATGTCATATGACTAGGTTAAAATTGTTCTGCTTATATTTTCCTCAAGTACAAGAAAGTGTACATTTGTGTTGCCAATAGATTTCTTATTAAGTGGATTAATAATCCATCTAGTTTAAAATTGTTCCATAGTATTTTATGCTTTGGGGAAAAAAGATGTCTAAGAATGCCTATTTCAGAATTTCATTTACGAGGTCTAAATTTAATTAACTTGCATGCTTAAAACTCTTTAATAGATTCCTATTGGACCTAGTTTACAACCCAGACCACTCACCATGGTGTACAAATCTGCATGTAACTTAGTCCTTGCCTATTCCTTTCTCAGCCTCACATCTCTTGGGGTTCTCCCATTCAATCACTACATTTATTCATGTCAGTTTTTGATCAATTTCTCCAATGAACCAAGTTCTTTTTCCTGCCTCAAGACCTCAATACTAGTTCTCCCCTCTGTCTAGAACATTCTTTCTCATTTCACCCCTACTATATGCACATGAACTTGCTTGTCTAGCTTCCAGTCTTAGATTAAAGACACCTCCCCCAGTAGGTCTCCTATATTAGTCTCTATTATAGCATACTATTTTTATTTTCTTCTTATCAGCTGCAATCATGGTTTGGTTGGTTGGCTGGTTAGCCGGTTGGCTGGTTGGCTCATTGGTTGGTTGGTTGGTTGGCTGGCTGGTTAGTTTGTTGATTGGTGGCTGGTTGGTTGACTCACTACTTACTGTATCTTCAATGGGGCAGGGACCCTCTCCAACTTGTTCACCACCTTATCTCTGACATCTAGCACAGTGCCAGGCACATAGTAGGTGCTCTATAAACATCTGTTGATATTGTAGAATATCAGTAGTGCTGTAGCTAAAAAATTCCATCTTACCCTAAACAAAATTGTTAGAAGTAGTCAGAAACTTTACTAGCAAAATTAGAATTTTTACTATTTAAAAAAATCACTGTTATAGAGTAGCACTTAAATTGAACATTTCCTATAGGAGTATAAAATAGATGAAAAATTGAAGTATTAAGCTTCGTGTAGAGGGTAGACATGGGCAAAGATAAGCACCAGCAATTCACTGATATCGACAGAGCAACTAATAGGGTGTTCCAACATTTTTTTTTTAAACTTAAAGTGATAATTGGGCAAGAATTCTTTTTAATTTTAATGCCCCCTCGATTCTTCATCTTTGTATTAGTTTGCTAAGAATGCCAAAACAAAATGCCATACTTGATGGCTTGAACAGCAGAAATTTATTTTCTCACTGTTCTGGAGGCTGGAAGTCCAAGACTAAGGTGCCAGCAGGGTTGGTTTCTCCTGTCCTTGACTTGCAGAGGGACATCTTCCTGCTATGCCCTTAAATAACCTTTTCTCTCTACCCTAGTGTCTCTTCCTCTCCTTAAAAGAACATCAGTCCTATGAGATTAGGGCCCCACACTATGAACTCATTTAACTGTAATTAAAGGCCCTATCTCCAAACATAGTCACATTCTAAGGTACTGGGGGTATTCATATGCTTTAGCATATAAATCTTGGGGGAGACACAATTGAATCCATAACCCATTTCACTACTGAATCCACTGAATTGTATGCCTTTAATATTTTTAATGTGTAGGTCAAGATTTGACTGACTGTCTTTAGTACATTTTGTTGATTTTGAAAAATGTGAGTTTACTGCAATCTTTTGAAAAAGAAATTATAATCTGTTGAAAGAAAAAAAGAAGAGTTATCTACACTTACTGACAGTGTCTCTTTTATATGAGTTTTCATTTCCTGTTAACACAACTCCTTTTCTTTAGTAAAATTTTTAGGAACTTCAATTATAGAACTGGACTTCTGAGAAAGGTATTTCCTTAAAATCCTGGAAATATAAATCTAAAGACTGTCACATCAGAAACAGTTGGAGTAGAAGGAAATGGGGGAGTCTGAGAGTTTTCAGAAGGTAGAATGCATGACCTTGACTGTAAAATAGAGGGTTATTGAAGTCAGGGTCTCAATAAAGGAGTTTAAAGGTCTCCCTTAAGGAAGCCATTATTGTGGTAAAGTCTTATTGTTATCCATGAAGATTGCCATTTCATGATTTCCTGTCTTTTTTTGTTGTTCAAAACCACTCACAAAGGGCCACTACACTAAGTTTTGAGAGTTAGTTTCTTTCCCCATTCTTCAGTCCCATAAAACCACTTCTCCGTCCCCATTGTCACTTTGTTCCTTTCTACTCTGACTCTCTTGAGCTGGCTGACTCCTAAATGCCAAAAACAAGTGCTCTATTCCCTTAGCATTTTGCTCTAAACCAACTGCCAAAGATAGGAAATAATCTAATAAAGCAATCTTCCATTTAAGTTAACTAATAATGCTTTCTCAGGCACTAATCCTTTTAATAGAAGAGTAGTATATGAAACTCGATGGCCTTCTAAATTAATTTCTAGTGATAAAATTCCCATCACTATCCAGAGTAGCAGAAAAAATATGAAAAAAAATAGAAACATTTATATATGCTTTTGCTTTTACATTTATATATGCTATATGCTTTGGATCACAATATTTTCTGGTTGACTACCCTAAACTGGAAAGCAGAAAAGGCCCAGAAAAAAATCAAAGGAATGTGAACAAACCCTGAGTTCCCAGAAATCTTTGCCAAATGACACTTTCACAAGCCCTAGTTCAGCTGGGGCCACTTGAGTTTCCTAGAATGCCATGTTGAAATCACTGGCAACAGACACTGGCCATGCATTTCAGGTAGAAAGTGGAGTATTTTCAAAATAATGGATTTTCCTGCTCTGAAATGCAGTCAACATTGCAATCACTTTTCATATTCATCATAGTCTCGTAGCAAGATTACTGATTATAAAGTCCCGAAATGAATAGCTAGGGCTGGAGAAAGTGTTGGAATTGGTATTTATTTTAATGATTTAGGGATTATTGACCATTCATTTTCAACTATTTGTAATTGAAGTCTTCAAATAGAGAAATTTATCAGAGGAATGCCTCCTTCACCCTTGTGTAATTTGAACATGCTGAAATGGCACATGTGGACCCATAAATTGTTCATGTGCACAAAGGGGTAATATATCACACAGGCCCTCATTCACTCAGTGTTGGGAGAGGAAAGGCGTGGAAGTATGAGTTGTCGCTTGCTATACAGAATCCCATATTTTCACATCTTACATTTCTAGGAGGCTTTTTAAAAACATAACCTTCATATTACTTACACTAGCTAGTCATTCATTTTAAAAGATACTTTTATCAGAAGTTTTTATCAAGGTTTTTAAAATTATTTATCAAAATACAAATGTTTCTGACAAAGTCACTTTCAAGGTGTCAAAGAGATCATGTTCCTGGGCCTGGAGCAATGGGCATTGTAATCTGCACACACTGTGTTGAATTAGATGTATAGTCCCTAATACATGAGCCAGAAATGATAAACATGTTAAAATCAAATTCAGTTGTCTCTTTGTGGGGTAGTTTGATATCTAAAGAAAAGACAGTGTGACTTTCTCTTTTTCACTGAAGCTGTAATAAGGAATTTAGTTATTTTTAACCATTGCAGAATGCAGACATTGTTTTATAAAGGCAGACATCTGCTTTAAAGCATCAGTTTTCCAGAGCTAACTCTGCCTTTGCTCTTAAAATTATTTTCTTACTCCAAATCTAAACTTGTGTACTGAATAAAATCTCAATCCACTGGGATTGATACATTATGTAAGCCCGATATCCGACAATTTTCTGTCTTAAGGGAATGTTTATATCTGTTAAATACTCATGAGAAACGCTCTCTTTTATATCGTTTATATTTCGGCTTCATTTCACGTATTTGTGTTTTCCATTTTGTTTTCAAGATCTTCTAGATCCTTGATACTCAGTGTTGAACCAGTACACTGGACCAATATTGTCGACATTTCTTGGAAGCCTGTTAGAAATGCATTTTCTCAGGTCCCACCCTCCCAACCTCCCCTACCGTACCACCACAGAACCAGAAACTGCATTTTCACAAGATCCCTAGGTGATATGCTTACACTTTAAAATGTGAAAAGCACTGCTCTAGGTAATTCTCAGATGATATTTTGAAGATGAGGATTACTAATGGATATGAACATGTTACTTAAAAGGCAAAGTAATAATAACATTGTATTAACTAATATTTTTGAGCACCTCACGTGTTCCAGGCATCACCCTCTTTTGATGCTTTTTGCATATATTATCTCATTTGAGCAAAAGGAAAGAGAAGCCTCTTTTTCTGAGGAAGGAGAAATCAGTTGTTAGATAGGGAAATCCAGGAATGTTCTAGTTATTTATTATAGCTCAGAGAAAAGGGCTAAGTCTAGAGTGGAAATATGCACATGAAGACAGCTATAGCTTATATATGTAAGGAGTATAGGCTAGAGCAGAGATAATGAAGACAGGAATGTCTTATGAATGACCAGAAAAAGAAAAAAAAAAAAAAAAAAAACCTGTTATATAGTGGATTCAGCCAACCAGAGAAGAGCTATTTGGAAGTGACATAGCCAAAATGCTGGAAGAACATAATTACTCACTCAGCTTCTCACTTCAGAACAAAAGTTAAAACACTATGTTTCATGTTTACTCTATTTGTAAATGTACATATAAATGATATAATAGTATGTTACTTGATATGGATCTAAGTGATTACAATGAATAATTCTTACAACCTTAACATTGGCATAAGAGGGTGTCTTTACAATATGTATTTATGAGTTAATTTCTTTAAGGAAGAGCCATAAGTATAAGAACGGATGCAGAAGACTATGTTTATAAATGAGAGGAACTAGTTTCTGATCTTGATTCTGAACCGAAACATACCACAATAACCGATAAGCCAAACTACAACCAACTAGTCTGTTAACAAGATTAGTGCTATTGGTATGTTTCGTAGAATTATTTTTAATGGCACCCAAAACTTAGTCTTGAATGGAGGATTTCAGAGAATGAAGTTTTCTGAAATACAGAAGAATTAATAATGCTTCTATTTGCATTAGTTTTTAGGAACTCAGATCATCCTTATTCTAGTATGAACAGTTTCTGTAAATTTATAGGAGGCACTAAAAAATTCCATTAATGTCATTGGGAGTCACTACTATAATTCTGTTTCTCTGGAAGTAAATATAAAAGGCAGGTTATAAATAGGTAGTAATAGTATAGATGAGACTTGTATTAGTTACCTTATGCTGCATAACAAATTATCCCAAAAGTTAGTAGTTTAAAACAACAAACATTTATCATCTCAGAATTTCTGCAGGTTGAGAATCCAGGTTTGGCTTAGCTAGGTCCTTCTGGTTCAAGGGCTTCCATGAGGTTGCAATCAAGATGTCACTTCAGGCTGTGATCTCATCTGAAGGCTCTACCAATGGGGATTCATTCACATGGTAATTGGCTTGCTTGGGTTTCTCATCGCCTACATCTTTCCGTAAAGGCTGCTTTATGACCTGACAGCTATTTTCCCACCAGACAGACCAAGAGAGCTAAAGAGAAAGCAAGCAAGCCCAAGATGGAAGCCATGGTCTTTTTATAATCTCATGTTGGAAGTGACATTCCATTCCTTCTGCCATGTGCTATTCATTAGAAGCAGATTAGTAAGTCCAGCCCATCCTAAAGGGGAGGAAATTACATGAGAATGTAATACCAGCAGGTAGGGATCACTGGACATTGACCACAATGATTTTTTCTTTCTTCCTGCTTTCATATTTTCTAACATGTTAATTTTGGACATGTGTTACTTGTGTAATAAGGAAAGAAAAAACATTAAAGGCAATAAAAGTAAGGAGAAATTCTTCTTACATCAGATGTATTGATCAGAATAGTCACCTCTCTATGAGGCTTTCTTAGTAAGACAATTGAATTGACTGAAGACAGGATTTATTAATGACCTTCCTGACTACATACTAGATCATGTTACAAATTTAAGCCGAGATTGTTAATCTAACAGGGTTTTGTGTCACTTGCAAATTTTTTGCACTGAAATAGTAAAAACTCCTGGTGGTAATATGACTGCAGCAATCTTTCTCAGCTTCCTAACAGTCTCCTTCTTGCTCTGTTCTTAATAGCATGCTTGAGAGTTCAAACCGGCTTGATGAAGAACACAGGCTAATCGCCAGGTATGCAGCAAGGCTGGCAGCAGAGTCCTCTTCATCTGTAAGTAGTTGGAGTAAAAGGATTCATCTGTTGGCATCTGGGATCCTTGAATTTTATATGTCATGTTTATTGTTATTATAGCTGGTGCTGATTACCAGGACAATTTGTGCTAATTTATTGCGCATGTGTTTGTTGCTATGTTTATGGTGTCTTGGTGGTGAATTTACAGTTTAAAAATGGAAGACTTGAGAAACAAAACCATCCACAGTAGTGTGACCCTGGAGTCAAGCTGGAATCCTCGCATCCCCCTTCACTCAGTGTCAACTCCATATGAAGGCCCGAGGAAGGGGGCAAGGACTAGTTGTGACTCCTTTAATGTATTTAAAGCAGGTGTGGTTAGTGAAAGCACTAAATTTAAGGTAAAGTAGTTGCAAGTGGCGCTTAAAATATACCAGTAGAGATAATAAAGCTTTCTCCATTTGTGTCTGTCTCTGAGACAAAAGCAACTGTCAGCTCGACACATTGATTCGGAATTCATCTGTGCTGACTGAGAGTGAGTTGCAATTAGTGCGTCAAAAGGACAAAGAGTGGCGGGGAGCAAGTGAGGAAGCTGTTGCCTGCACCTCTCACATCAGATGTTGCCGTTATCAGAGCCCTTCCTGCTGAGCATTTAACCAAATGATCCCAGATGGGAGCTGCATAATGACCCATTGCATTAGCCCTGGCACGTGCTCTCTGTGACATCCACGACTGTAACACTGTTAGAAACTACCATGAGCAAGATGGAAGGGATCCAGGGCAGGCTAAAAGTGTGCTATGTGCCCCCAAAATCAGATGTGGTGAAACAGAGATGTAATTGGAGGATATGAAATTTTAAGGGACATAAGTAAGACGCAAACGTGTTAAAATCGAAATATAAAATCAGCTGAGAATATGGGAGAACTAGATTTTAGGACAAGCAACGCCTCCAGGAGTCACTTGAAAGTAAAAGCAAAACAAGGTTTCTGGAAAAACCTCTTTTCCAAGTTTTCTCGCCTTTATCCATGCATATACCTCTATAAACAGAGGCTATGGTATACCAAGATATGGGATTAGCAATGTGTGTCCCAGCTCTCCATGACCTCATGCAAAGCACTGCTTGAGTTCAGTCTCCTCGTCTGTACATAGGCGTAAATATGCTCATTATATATGTCAGTGCTGCCTGTTATTAGCATCCACTGAGACAGTAAAATGTATGAAAGTACTACATAAACCAGCAATTACAAAATGGCAGCCCGCAGACCAAATTTGTCCCCCAGAAATGTTTTGTTGAGCCCTACAGTGTTTTCAATTCTTTATTAGATGTCAGGACTTACAAATCAGATGATTTTCCTTGAAAGTCTGGATTTTCATCTTATCTTAACAGACTGACCAGATCAGATGCATATTCCTTCTGACAGCAGGCAGCTGGAGTGGAGGCATTCCTCTGCCGCTTCGGACAGGGCAAGCGTGTGGCACTTTGCCACAACCCTTACCCTGGCCCACCTCCCTCCCTTGCGTTACTTCCCTGCCCCTTTCAGCCTTTGAGTTAGTGATCCCTGGCAGACTGCTAAATCTCCATGCATATGTTATTATTTATATGTTCACTAACTTCTCCAGTCTTGTTCCATTTCTTTCTAGAGAACATTAGTAACTTGTGTTCCTTGCCTACATACACTATATATAACCTTTGTGGATCCATCATAGGAAAGATACCGTCCACACATTAATTCTAGTTCCTTTGTAAATCTCTTCATAACCACATATTAAGAATAGTATGATTAGCTGAATAAATCATGATTAGTAAAATGACACTTGGTTAGAAATGAGATAGAAAGGTCATTTACTTGGGTCAATGTTTTTCTGTATAATTCCTGATCAATTAATATACATAGCAAAGCAATAACTGAAATTCACAACTGGCTCAGATAAGTTTCTACCATTTATCAATACATAAAGTATATGCCAGAAAAGGAAGTCTTATGTAATGAAATCAGAAGAAAATCTTGAACCACAAGTCATTGCTGCCATAAGCCAGAATTAGCTATCGAAAGTCATTTAGAATCTAAAATGTAGGACCTCAAAATTTCTTGTTAGCTACACAAGTCATTCTTTGCTGAAAAGAGGTGTGAATTAAAATGCATAGACAGCTTTATAAAAACAAAACCTTTACAAAAGTTAATCTTTCCTACAGTTAGGTTTATGGACATCAAAAAGCAGGACAAGATTCTCTGCATCTGGCTTAGGCAATAGTTGCCATTTTTAAAAGCTTTGCATTCTTCGGTAGAAAGATTGGTTGTGATTTTTTTAAATTTGTTTTTAAAACAATAAAAATTGGTGTGGAGGGCCGGGTGTGGTGGCTCATGCCTGTAATCCCAGCACTTTGGGAGGCCAAGGTGGACGGATCACGAGGTCAGGAGATTGAGACCATCCTGGCTGACACGGTGAAACCCCATCTGTACTAAAAATACAAAAAATTAGCTGGGTGTGGTGGTGGTCGCCTGTAGTCCCAGCTACTTGGGAGGCTGAGGCAGAAGAATGGCGTGAACCCAGGAGGCGAAGCTTGCAGTGAGCTGAGCTTGCACCACTAAACTCTAGCCTGGGCAACAGAGTGAGACTCCACCTCAAAAAAAAAAAATTGGTCTGGAGGAATTTCCAAAATGTACTGTAAGGCAAAGAAAGCAAGACACAGACAAGTGTACATAATCTGACCCCATTTTTGTAAAACAATACCAAATAAATCTTTGACTAAATATACATAAACACACACAGATATATATATAGAGAGATATATAGAGAGAGAGATATATATATGGTATGATATGATTAATGATATCTATATTTATCTGAGAATGGAGAAAGCTATGACTGCATGTATACCAGTTGTTAAAGCTGATTGCATTACTGAAAATGATGGGCTGGAGTGGTGGGAAGGTAGAAGAAGCAAATCAAAGAATATACATGAATATGTGAATTCATCAATCTAAAATTACATGTGTGAATAAAGAAATACATAAAAGTTTGCTGATTAGAAGAATCAGAAAAGCAAGTCTTACTAACTATGACTTTAAAACTGTATTTTTATTTATTTTTGTGAGATGGAATCTCGCTCTGTCACCTGGGCTGGAATGCAGTGGCATGACCTCAGCTCACTGCAACCTCCACCTCAGGCTCAAGCGATTCTCCTGCCTCAGCCCCTCTAGTAGCTAGGATTACAGGTGTGTGCCATCAGGCCCAATGAATTTTTGGATTTTCAGTAAAGATGGGGTTTCCCCATGTTGGCCAGACTGGTCTCGAACTCCTGACCACAAGTGATCCGCCCACCTCAGCCTCCCAAATTGCTGGTATTACAGGCGTGAGCCACCACGCCTGGCCTAAAACTGTATTTTTAACTGTATATTACAGTAATTGAACAGTAACTCTAGAGAACGCACCCTCTCAACAGTGCAACATCTTTTAAAGCCACCTATAATGAAAGAATAGGTACAATGGGGATAGTGTGGCAAAAATAAAATCACTTCCCAAAGATAGTCAGAAAACTGAAAAATCATTTTTCCTACCTTTTGTGTATTTGCCTGCCAGAGAATTCTGTTCTGTCTTCCACCTCGCAGATGTGCTCCGGATCCACAGAAAAGTTGGTCCGTAGGAGAAGAATGGCAATTGAATTTTATGTATTTGCTTTCTTTGTTTTGATAGAAATAGTTCCCTCCTCCTTGTCTGCATATCTCATGACTCCTGCCTTCCCAAACACATAGGTTCACATTCTCAATATGAAATCTTCCAAACTACTTATTTTACAGCAGCCAACTCAGCAGAGAAGTGCTCCTGACATCTCTTTCACCATCGATGCGAATAAGCAGCAAAGGCAGCTGATTGCTGAGCTAGAAAACAAGAACAGGTGAGGCTTTGTAGACGTGCTGGCTTGTTTGATCCACGTGCGCATTCATTAGTAACCTATGGTCGTGCTTTAAAGTTTCAGGGCTTTACACCCTGTATGCATACTCAAGGGAAGACATCTACAGTCAGTGATGCCCATTTCTGAAAAGCTGGTCTTTAGATCTTTAGAACTTCAGAAGCTTCATGAGAAAACTGCGTGTGCGTGTGTGTGTATAGTTCTGAGATGTCAATGCAATTAATGTTGCCCCTCTAGACGGTCTCACTTCCCTTTTGCTGACATACTTAATTTTGTTCAAGAGCTTCTAGTGCAGGAGGAGCCTCCTGCGTACTTGGTAGAAGGTGTCTCTACCACCCAGAAACAGGTAGGAAGCTCGCCGGAGAGACGCCCTGGAGGGACCCTGAGCTAAAGAGGCATCTGGAGAGACACCAGCATCACCCAGTTACTCTATCCAAACATGCAAAGGTCTCCACCTGCAGCCCATCAGCAGGTTCTTCCTCTATTCAACACAGATTGACTCACAGTCTGCCTCCACGGCATACACCCCAAACATTGTCCAGCTCATCTCCACCACCACCCAGTTCAGCCTGTCCTTTTCAAAAACATCAGTCTTATGTTAGTTATTCCAGGTTTAAACCCTCTAATGTGTTCCCATCACACTTCAGTTAAATCCCACTCCTCTTACCGTGACCTGCGAGGTCCTACCGGACCTGATTCCCTCCTGCCATTCCAGCCTCAGCTCACCTTGCCCAGCACACTTCCGCCTCCCATGTCTTCCTCCTGTCTTACAGCCTTTGAACTTGTCATTCCCTCAGCCTAGAAAGCTCTTCCTCCGGGTCTCTGTGTGAATGGCTCCTTCTCATCACTGAGGTCTCAGCTCATATATCACCTCCTAAAAGACCACCTGTCTCATCCCGCCCACTCGCCCCAGCCCAGAAACTAGTCTCAATTACATCCCCCTGTGTGTGGGGGGAGGGCGGCGGGGGGTGTCACTTATCAGCGTCTGAAATAACCGTGTGTGTTTCTTTGTTTATTGTCTGTCTTCCCTGACTGAAACGGAAGTTCTTTGAGAACAGAGTCCATGGCTAAATGGTCCCTGGAGCCCAGAACCAGGCCTGGCAATTGTAGGAGCTCAGTAGACATACACTGAGTGAGAAAATGATGAATAGCTGAGTTAAATCTCAAACTTGGTGCTGAGGAAACCTAACGTGGAACAATTTGTACTAGGTTGGTGCAAACGTAATTGTGGTTTTTGCCATTATGTTTAATTACTTTTAATGGCAAAAAGCGCAATTACGTTTGCACCAACCTAACACATTCTAGTAACATGTTTCTTGAAACGGCACTAAAACATTTCCACGCTTAATCCCATTCTTAAACACTGATGTGACATTTGAGTTCAAACTGGTGGAGTAAAGGAGGAGGTTGTGATAATTATTTCATGCCTGTAAAGTTTAACCTGAGAATTTGGGGATAAATGATCAAAGTATTCTTTAAAGTTCTCAAGAAAGAATAAAAAGGAAGGTGCAAACTCTAGTTGGCAGATTTTCATTTTTTTTTCTAGTAAGGAAAGCTTTTGGCTTAGTTGTCTTGAGACCTGGTTGTCATCATTAGGAAACCGCAAATTAGGATAGAAATAGCTTCATAAATGTGACACCATGACTCCATCACCTTTGAAACTACTGCTCTACTCTGACCCCCGGGGAGATGTGCTCACATCAGAGCTGGAATAAAAAAATTAAAAAATTAAATTAAAAAAAAGTGTGTCACATGTGATCCCTCTCAATGTAGCAAATAATAGGAGGAAAGAATGAAGAAGGGAAAGAGTAGACGCATAGTGAAGAATTAGAAAAAAATAGCCATACAAATTGGAAGTTGTTCAGGATAGTCACAAGTCTGTAAAATTACCTATTCTATTTTATATAACATTTATTATATCTACTATGTGCAAGTAATTGTGCCAAGTCAGAAACAAGCATTGAGAGTGGGAGCCAAGGTTTCAAATGAGCAAAGGCACTTAAAATAAGGTAGGAGAAAGAACCCACAGAAAGGAAAAGGGTAGTTAGGGGATGCAAGTAAAAGTGGGGACAGGCAGGCATTGGAGAAAGTGTATGAGCTGAGCTGGCAGGCAGAGGGCTCAAGGCAAACAATGTAAAAGAACCATTGGACTTTGTGGTTCATGGAAAGCTTGTGTGAGTATTGATGACATTGATGGCAATGGGGAGTAGGAAAATGGAGGGGCCGTCCTCAAATGTACTGATACTTTACATCAATTCGGGCACTGGAAATATCATGGCAAGAAAAAGAAGCAAAATAAGCCAGTTTTAAATTATTGACAATTAGACTTAATCCAAAGTTTCGGCTTTTTTGGAACAAAATATTATGGTTGATAATCTCAGCAAATGTTAGAATTGGAATGTAAAACAGTTTTGTTTTATTTTGGTTTTTTTTTTTTTCAGTCCACAAAGTAAACCAATAATATATGGTGGGAAAGGTTTATTTAAAATTACTCAGAATTAACAGATGTCAGTCAGTCAGTCAAAATAAGGCAACAGAAAGAGCTAAAGAAGAGAGGAGGAAAGAAATGATACAAACAACCATTGTATCTGCTATTGGAAGGCTATGCCAGCTTGAGGCCTGAATGAACACCAGAATTGAGGCCATTTTCTGAAGAAGGACCTAACTTTCTATGTAGTCCGTTCATTTGGAGTTTCTACCAGACATCATTCCATAATCCCTTCTCCATCCCTTAGTCCCTTTTCTCTAAGACATATTATGATTGCTAACGAGCATGGAGCCATCCAATGGGGAAGGGACCACAGCTGGTATTAATAATACATGCTCACAGCTTCCAGGTGGCAGCAGTAAGAAACCTGGGTCTTTGTTTTGGGGTGTTGAAGCGAGAATAAGGACAACTTTAAAATACATTTAAAGTACATGTGTACAAATATAGCTTCGTTTCGTCCTCAGAACAACTATTTAATGTAGGCAGATTGACTATTATCATCCCCATTCTACAGATAAAAATTTAAATGTGAGGTGTTGTTTCTACTCTTTTTCCCCCAACATGACCCACTTCACCATCATTGTGGTCTAGGTTGTGTAGGGCAAACTTCATGGGGAAGGTGAGTTTTTAGGACATTTCAGGACAGTGAAATTTTGCAGTGAAAGTTCGGAGATAGAATTCCAGGTAAAAATACACACAGACTTTGAGAAAAGCAACAAGACACTTGCCAGGCTAGCACTGAGGAATCGAATAAAGAATAAAATGAAAACATCAGTATATGAAGCTTGTATACCAGACCAAAGAATTTTAATTCTATCCTGTCATGATGGACAGCAGTGGTCAGGCAAGTGACAGAATGTCCGCATGTTTATGGCAAAGTAATCAGCTCACTAAATATGCAGGTTGCATTTACAAGGGGTTGACCAGAAGCTGGTGGGAAGTGATGAAGAACTATGTTAGATAAGTGGTCCCAGAAATAAAAATAAAGGAACCCAAAAAGGAGATGATTAGACAAAAGGCAAAATAGTGCTGAAATGTTAATTTACAAGATTCTATTACTCATTTCTAAACTTCCCACTAGGGATTCCAGATTTTCCAATGACAACCTTCACACAACTCAGATTTTACTAGCAATCCTCTTTTCTTTCACTCTCTTGTTGTTTCCTTCCTCCTATTCATCTGTCCCAATACGAAGAGAAGGGATAAAACGTCAAGGTCAAAAGGGGCGTTGTGGGATATCAAAAGGAGGTTAACCCTGACCACAGTTTTCACAAGCTGCAGCATCAGGCCTACATCCCTTCTTAGAAAGAAAAGACCAACAGAAATTCACAAGCTCAAGAATATCTTATCTCGGTTGCGGTGTTAATTAACCTACTCTGCCACTTCTTCAGAGCACTTTGTTTTCCCTTCCAATACTCTGCTTCCACTCAGGCATGGGTATAACACATTTGAGGGGAAAGCAGGACTTCTTTTGAGGAAATACCCCAGGGATATCTGCCTCCATATGGGTCTGTTTCTGATACCAGAATCAGCAGGAAGCACCATGAAGGCCCCCAACAACCCTGGTCATGCCTTAATATCACTCTTGTTGCTTGTTTCCTGAACACTTTTGGATCACACTCTCTAAATCCATGTCTTTAAGAACTAGAGAGAGAAAAAAGAAACAGGAGTGAGAAGCAGAAAGAGAGATACGTTCTGTCCCTGAGTTCTTTTGTGGGTTCCAGAGCTCCCCCAACCCATCTCTGATGAGCAGCAAGTGTACCCTGAGCTCCTCTCTCTGAGTCAGCAGCCTGGTGCTCTCTAGACATCCCAGAGCCAAAAGCTCCTTCGGGTAATACTGCTGCACCGTGGAAACCCACCCAGAGAACCCATGTCTCTAAGGTGACAACCCAATAATCAGGTCTGTGAATTTAAGGGGAGGATGGAGTTCCTCACTTCATTTAATGACTCTGTCTACCCCAGCTAATCACAGACATTTCAGCAATGATCTTTAGAAGATAATGGTCCCTTATAGCACCTTTGGTGGAGTCAATCGGTTAGTATGAGGAGTACCAGGAATCTTCAAATTGTATTGTATAAGTCACAGCCTGTCTTGGCTAGACCTGGCAAAGCAGGTACCAGAAGACTGAGGCAGGCTGATATATGTGGGCTTTCGGGCTAGCCAGCCTGGATTCACGTCACCTCTACCATCTCCTTGTTATTGAACTTGGGGAAATCTTTTAACTGCTCTGTGCCTGGGTTCTCTCATTCATTAAACAGAGATAATAATGGTACCTATATATAATAGAACTGTTATAGAATGAAATAAAATAATATTAAAGCAGACAGCAGAGTTCCCAGGTACAGACTAACTACTTGATGCATGTTACATATCTCTTCTTATTTTTTCTTACCAGAGCTGCTGCTCTCTTTTCCTTCCTTGGACTACATGGCTGTGTCATGTTTCTGTCTTTAGCATGAACAAAGAGAATAGCAGGAGTCATAGAATATCAGGGTGTTAGCCCTGGAGGAAATCTTGGAAATCCCACTGTGCTGATTTTCAGGCTGAGCTCTATGGTATCCTGAGGGCTCTGCAGGGGCACCTGGGAGGGCAGAGCAAGTCCCAGCAACACAGGGACTTGTCATCATTTCTTTAACCCCAGCAGCACCCCTCCCCTTAAACTGTCTGACATATTGGGTATCCATGGCATATTTCTTTTAAAGAAAGGATTCCTCCATGGAATCTCAAAGAGGAGAAAAAAAAAAAAGATTGAAAACCACTGAATTACAGTTCCATCTTCTCACCACACCCACGAAAGGTATAATGACTCACTAGTCATTAGCCTCCTGATTCTGGGGGTTTTGTGAAGCAAGCAGTTTTAAATCAGCCTCCCAAAATGGAAAGCCACTTCCTTGTCCACCAAGTTCACCTTCCATTCGCAGTACTTTGCTCTATCTTACTGGCTCCTATGCCTTTTGTTGAGTAGGAAACTGACACCCCCAGCTCCCAAGAATACATGACTTAGAACACTGCTTAATGGCTTCTGACTCGCTCAGGGATAATTTGCCTTGCCAGGTCACATATCCTTTATGGCTAGCCTAATGCTCACCCAAATGCAGGGAAGCCCGGGCTCTGACATCAATAGTTGACTGACACATCTCACCTCCGACAGAGGTCACACCAATCGGACTCTATGTCACAGCCTCAATTACAGTGAATCTTTTTAAAAGCACTTTCCTTCTAAGGTGGACTTCCCTGAGATCCATTGTTAAGGCTGAGAGATTTAAGAAAAAAAAAAAGAGAGAAGGAATTTTGTCTAACTCAGGTTTTCTCAGATAAATTCAATATGAGAAGTCCCTTCTTGGTGAGAGAATGAGGTTACTTAGTTTTGTGAAATGAGCCCCATTTATCCTTATTTTCCCTTCAGGCTCCTTTTACTTGGTAGCTGCAGGTACTTCATGGTGGCAGAGTGTGATCGTAAATAACAGGAAGATGCACTTTTGTCTCTTAAGCAGCACACTCTTCAAAGTTGGACGCATTACCACTGCATTACATTACTTGCTAGAGAGATGACTGGGTCCTGGTGATTTAACTCAACGACATGCTGCAGAAGCTTCAAGGTTTGGATGTACTGGAAATGAAGTCACTCTTCCCGTCACCCACAGCACCCACCTAGCTGTAGTCAGCGCCTCTTAAATACACTGGAATCTGTTGGTTAGGGAAGGTCGGTTCTGCTCCTAAACATAGGATGATCCCTTCTCCCTTTGTTCTGGTGGCCTTGATCTGCTCCGACGTGAGTGTCCTGAAAGCTAACTAACCTTGGTTTCTCACCTTCCTCCTCTCTCCCAAGAGAAATCTTACAGGAGATCCAGAGACTTCGGCTAGAGCATGAACAAGCTTCTCAGCCCACACCAGAGAAGGCACAGCAAAACCCCACCCTGCTGGCAGAACTCCGGCTCCTCAGGTGAGAGAGCACCCACCTCATCTCAGGGAATATACATGCGTGAGATCTTTGAGAAAGTCTAGCAGTGTCTAGCCAGAAAACGGTCCTCAGCTACCTGAGCTGCTGACGTTTGTTGTTTTTTTTGTTGTTGTTGTTGTTGTTGTTGTTTTTATAGCACACACCTAATTGCTGATACCTGGGGGATTTAGAGGGAAGGTGCTTCTATTTTGTTCTTTCATTTGGTACAGGGAAAAGCAGTGTTTGTTTTGTATTTGTTTTTTTGAGACGGAGTTTCGCTGTTGTTGCCCAGGCTGGAGTGCAATGGCGCAATCTCGGCTCACTGCAACCTCTGCCTTCCAGGTACAAGCAATTCTCCTGTCTCAGCCTCCCAAGTAGCTAGGATTACAGGCATGCGCCACCACACCCAGCTAATTTTTTTGTATTTAGTAGAGATGGGGTTTCACCATATTAGTCAGGCTGGTCTCGAACTCCTGACCTCAGTTGATCCACCCGCCTCAGCCTCCCCAAGTGCTAAGATTAAAGGCATGTGCCACCACACCCGGCCAGCAGTGTTCTTTAGATCAAAAACAGCATGTCTCACTAGGAACAATTTGAACTCAGCACTTTTTAGAAATAACCGGTTAAATAAACATCACAAGTTTTTAAATGTAAACATTTACTCCAACTCTAAAAGGAGTCTGATTTTTTCTCAGTCTTGGTCTCTAATATCTTTATATTCAGATCTTTAGTGTTAGGCATCATACCTTCTTGTACTGTAAATGAACGTAAAAGCCTAGTCTTGTTTAGCCTGTCATCATAAAATACTTGAGTTAGAAGGGACTGTAGAAGTCATCTTGTTACCTGTGAAGGGTCTTGACTACGAAGTTGTCCAGGGTCTTGGCATTTTAAATAAAGAACTAGACAGAACGCACAAACGAAGCAAAAAAAGAATGAAGCAACGAAAGCACAGATTTATTGAAACGAAGTAGGAGCCAGCTCCTGTAAGCGGTTCAAGAGTAGGAGCCAGCTCCTGTAAGCGGTTCAAGAGCCCTGGTTACAGAGTTTTCTGGGGTTTAAATACCCTATAGAGGTTTCCCATTAGTTACTTGGGTACACCCTGTGTAAATGAGGACTTGGCCCAGGACCACTCTGATTGCTTGCAGGAGGCGACCAATCAGAGGCTGAAGTGAAGTTGCAAAGTTACATCCTATGCAAACATTTGATTGGTTGCAGGAGGGGACCAATCAGAGGTACTTGCCATTATTCATCTGCGTCACCGTACAAAGGGAGTAGCCTTTGATCCTTTGGTTACTTGGGTGTGGAAAGGTGAGGTTTTCGTTTTCATTCAGTTCTAGGAAGTCAGTACAAATCGGCCTTAGTTTCGCTGCCTCCAGACCCTATTCTTCTGCCTCAATCAGATTCTGCCGCTGCATTTCAGTGCACTTCTCAGAGTCAGAAGCTAGGGAGTAGAAGGCCTTGGAAAAGAAATGTGGTTTCTCCTACTACTCCCACGCTGCAAAATGAAGTCTTGCTGTGGGCTCCATTTCAGACTAGCTTCATACCATGCCTTGAATAAGGCTAGTATTCCAGTGTATTTATGTGGCAAACAACACGAAACTAAATTCAAAGACGTTCCCTCATGTAAGTATCATACTGATCTTTCACAAGGCACCTGTAGTTGGAAAGTATTGATTACATTCTTTTTGTTTGTTTGTTTTTCTTGAGACGGAGTCTCGCTGTGTCGCCCCCGGTTGGAGTGCAGTGGCGCGATCTCGGCTCACTGCAACCTCCGCCCCTCCAGGTTTAAGCAATTATCCGCCTCAGCCTTGGGAGTAGCTGAGTAGCTGGGATTACAGGCGCGTGCCACCACGCCCGCCTAATTTTTGTGTGTGTGTGTGTGTGTATATATATATATATATATATTTTTTTTTTTTTTAGTAGAGACTGGGTTTCACCATCTTGGCCAGGCTGGTCTTGAACTCCTGACCTCGTGATCCACCTGCCTCGGCCTCCCAAAGTGCTGGGATTACAGGCGTGAGCCACTGCGCCCGGCCCATTCTTTTCATCTTTCAGTTTGGGTGCCAAGTATGTTCCAGGTATATCTATAACTCTGAGTCACACTTTTTATAGTAAGTACAGATGCCTCTTCGCAGAAACCCTTGTCAGAATTAGTCCCGTTTTCTTCTGCCATACAAAAAGACGAAATGAAGCAGGTTCTTTATGACTATGGATTTTACCAAGTTCCTGTTGGTTGCGTGGATGTTTCCGGGGGCTCTATCTTTGCTCTGCTCTTCAGACTCTGTAACACCTGAGCACAGCAGAGCTTTGTTTGTCATTAATGGATACTTTCATTTTTATCTTAAAACCACAATGAACGCTCTAAACGATCATGTTTCCCTTTCCCTTTTCACTTTCACCACAAGAAAACTGAAAGCTGAGTCACAGCCAGAACTGACAATGAATAGGAATGACAGGCATTTCTATGCGCTCATCTGACACTTTGCTGCATACTACCTCTACATACACTGTCTCATATAATTGCTATAACAAACCTAGGAGATAGGCAGTATTATGCTACTCCTTTAATAGATAAGGAAACTGAGATTCACAGAAGTCACATAGAAGTTGCAGATATCGTACCTTTCACTTAGTGTATATATTTATGTATTTATATATGATATATAACAAGAGAAATTTTTTCTTAAAAATTTTGTATAATTGTATGTAATTTATGTATATATTTTCTAAGAAAAAAATTATCTTGTATGACCATGATACCATCTTCAATTCAGGAAAGTTAATGTTGATATATTGTATTCAATATAAACCCATATTAAAATTTTGACAATTGTTCTAACACCGTTCTAAAAGAAAGTAGGTTTTAACGGCCGGGCGCGGTGGCTCCCACCTGTAATCCCAGCGCTTCAGGAGGCCGAGGCGGACGGATCACACCTACAGTTTTAGAAGGTTGCTTTAACCCTCTTCCCAAAGTGCTTCTGTGGCCAAAGGGCCAAAATTACAGAACATTATCAAGAAGAGAACTGGAAAGAAATCAGAAACATTATCTGCTCTTGTGCCAAGGACTACTGTGGATGTACCTGGAACATCATACACAGATAAGGTCAAAAAAAAAAAGAGGGAGAGAAAGAACACCTCCTGGATTTGTCACTGAGGAATATGCTTGAATGGGGCAAGACTTGAAATTTGAATGCTTCAACCCAGGAAGACAAAGACTCAAATAAGATACCATTAAAGCATATAAAATTACAATGTTTCTCATCCTCTGGATTCAGAAAAGAAGCAATTTTAAAGGAAATTTAAAGAAGGATTGCTTCAAGAGTAAGCAGTTCTTACTCTTGTAGGGATTGCTTGTAAGTGGCAATAATAGTTAAAAATATAAATTTAAATATTTATATTTTATAATTACAAAGTTAAAAATATAAATTTATTCAAAAAGAATTGAGAAATGTTTATAACTTTTAAATTCGTAATTCATTATAGAAGAAGCCTGTAAGAAAGTAAATTAGAAATGACCCCCACTGCTTTGGGAGGCAGAGGCAGGAGGAGCTCTTGAAGCCAGGAGTTCAAGACAAGCCTGGGCAACATAGTGAGAAACTACCTCAAAAAAAAAAAAAAAATTAGTCAGGCATGGTGGCACATGCCTGTAGTATCAGCTACTCATGAGGCCAATGGCAGAAGATTGCTTGAACCCAGGAGACTGAGGTTACAATCAGCTATGATTATGCCACTGCACTCCAGCGTAGGCAACAGAGTGAGACCTTGTCTCTAAAAAAAAATAGAAAAAAATAGAAAAGTATCATTTATATCACTAACCTGTCCTCCCACAAAATATCTTTCCATTGAATGAGTCATTGACCTAGCTCATGGTGACATTTTTATATCATCAGTTTTTCATTGCAGAGTTCTTGTCATAGTTTCATTTAATATGATACCTATCATTGGGACTAGCCATATCCATTTATACATTAATACATACATGTTTAAAGCTTCTATGCAGTTTTAGTATATAAGTATGAATGTTTCAAACTCAGACAGAAATCTTTGGGGCAATGGGAAAATTATATGTATTACTTATTCAGTAATAATCATTCAGTAATAGATTTGGAATTTATTTGAAAAGTATACATATATTTCAGAAGTGTGAACCATTAACATTCCTCATCATACTGTTTCATTTCTTTCCCCCTTTAAAGATATTTTTGGTACCTCTTAGTGTCAATATAAATGATAGTATAGATTGTCCTTAGTTGTTTTCATTCTTGCTGACAGTTTAATAAGAGGTCTGTAAAACAAAACAAAAGTAAGCATGAACCTTATATATCATCTTCACTTGCTGAACAAGTATGTAGAAATGCCTTTATTTGGACTTCACTTTATGAAATCAAACTGAAACCCAAAAATTTTAATGGATTGTATCTATGTGCTATTAATATCTCACCTCTGAGAGACACCTCAATGGGTGCTGAAGATTTCAAATGTACTTTTCTAAATCATATTTCCAAATACTAAGGTCATCAATATTTTCTGTGAATTTGCAAAAGGGTTCTTAGATCTGGAGAATCTAGAGGATTTGCCTTTTTCAGTGACAATTTGGCTTTTGTGTGTTTCAAGGGACCCCATGGCCCATCACAGGGCCCACTACATAGTAAGCATTCAGAAAATATGTCATTCAATGGTTGATTAATTCAGGGTAGAAAGGTCTAAAGGAAGCGAAATGTCTAAAAGGACTTTACTTCTGATGTAGTATGACTGCTAACAAATAAAAGAAACACCTCCAGCTATCATTGTTCATTCATTTGATAACAGTTCCCTGCCTGGTAACTGTGTCGGAGACCCAGAGATGCCCTTTCTCTGATAGTCCACACGTCCCTCAAGAAAGGGAATGTGATTAGCTCGGAGAGTTGCAGGCCGCTCCTGATGTCAGCTCCTTCTTTCTTAGACAGCGCAAAGACGAGCTGGAACAGAGAATGTCTGCTCTCCAGGAGAGCCGGAGAGAGCTCATGGTCCAGCTGGAGGGTCTCATGAAGCTGCTAAAGGTAAGACCTGCCAAATAAATTTTTCCTAAGCTTATTTTCCGTGTCATCTGTGAACATTTCTGCACATAATGTGCAATGGTTTTTCCAATCGCTGTATGTGATTTCCCTCAACATGTTGTTTCAAACTCAGATGTAAAACAATTTCTTAGACCAGTGTAGTAGTAGCTGTCAGTAATAGAACACGTTCTTATCCATTTCCTGAAACCAGACTGCTGAGGGCCTTCATGGGGCAACTTCTTCTTGGCTTATTTCCAGTTTCTTTATGTCTGCAAGTAACAGAACTGGATTTCTTTAGAAATATTTTATATTTAGTAGCTTTCAGCAATTCTGATTAAATTAAGAGGAGTGACTGTTAATATCAGTAAAATATTTTATTCCATTAGTGTGCTTTATCAGTAAGTCACATGATTTCTAGTGATCTCAAATGCAAACTCTGTGAGAGAATATCTCCTTTCTCTTCTGCAAGTAAAGTGTTTAATAAGATGATTTATACAAGTCTTCTGTAGAGTGCTGTAATCTATTTTTCCCATTGGGAAGTGGCATTCTTCTTTTAGTAAAGCCTTATTCCCTTCTTTAGTATACATTAAATTGCATTTCAAGTCAAAGGCAGGCAAATTATGGCCACATGTCTATAGTCAGCCCATGTGATCGGTGCCACGTGATCATCCTGCCTGACATAAACAAGCAAGAACCAGTATGGATTGGAACTGTGACATGCCAAAGGCAGGAAATGAAACTTCTGATAGGAGAATGACGAAGGGAAGACCCTAGGGCAGCTCATTTGCGAGACAGGGTCTCCCAGCTTTCAGTCCATGGATGTCCCACAGCCCCAGCACACCAACATTTGTTGTTTTTATTTTGTCTGTCCTTTCTTTCTCTCTCTCTCTCTCTTTTTTTTTTTGTTTGTCTACCTTTCTCTTTTCTTCCCTCTTTTCCTTCATTTTTTTTTTGTTTCTTTCTTGGTTTCTCCCTCTTTCCTTCTTTCTTTTATTTTTTAACAAATATTTTTTGAAAGCTCCTTTGTCCCAGCCACTGTTCTTGTAATCTTTCTTTTGTTTTCCTTCCTCTATTTTATTCCTTAGTCAACTTTTCCCTCCATCAGTATCCTCTTTAGTGATTGGTATTGGGAATACTTTATCTTTACTCAACAAAATTGACTTTTCAGTAAATTAGATTTTTGTTGATCTACCTTGGGCAAAATAAGACTAGACAATTCATAACCTGCTGCTGCTTCTGGCCTGTTAATCTTATTTGATAACCCCCCCAAAAAAAACTCTCTCTGCATCCCTTTCGAAATATACCAAATGAAAAGGACTGAACCCATCTCTCCCCTCAGTGAATGACAGGAAGCTTTGAAAACTGCCCCCTATGTTCCTCCTCTTCTGTCATCATAGCTATGACTCTTTCCCTATGAGTTAGAAGTCTATTCCCCACCAGCCATCTTGGTATCAACCTAGCCTAACAGAGCACTGCCTTTTATCAAGATGTACACATGTCAGGATAGAGAGATGGATTGTGTTGAAAAATAGTTGTACATGCAGAGAAAAGAGATGGGCCTGTAGTCTCAAGTAACCAAGTAGACTTGGACTGATAGTCACTGAGGTGGCAGAGGCCTGGACCTGCCATCAAAGCTGTGTTGATGTTTCCCCATCTTGCATTCCTTCACACTGTATACATGCTCTTTTTGGAACCCTGGGTAATCTAACTGTTATTGATTCAATCTTTCTGTAGGAAGAAGAACTGAAGCAGGGAGTAAGTTATGTCCCCTACTGCAGGTCTTAACTAACAGTGGAGGGGCCTGCCGACCTGCGGTTTTCTCATTGCTTTTGCTCTAATGTATGTTCATGCTTCAGTTTGGAAAGAGAAAAAAGTCATACTAATTTGCTTCTTTTTCAATGTAGTGCTTGAATTGAGATATATAAATTTAGCATTTTTATAACTATCACTACTATCAGCATCAAAAGAAGAACTATGACATCTTTTAGAAAAGGGACCGAATCGTCATTTCTTGGAAACATTTTAGATCCCCAGAGGTATAAGTTTCAAACCAGTCTTATGCTTTTCAAGTTGTTGATCAGACCCTTCTCTTAATAGAGAGACACTCAACACAGTCACTAGAGATACACTGAGGTTCATGTCATCCCAAAACCTGCAGCACTCAGACGCTAACCTCTACACCCCCTCACGCTGTGAGTATTCAATTCGGTTTCATTTTACTGAAAACCTGTGAAACCTCTTTTTATAAAAATCAGGCAATTAAATCCCTTTTCACCACACAATTATTGAGCCTTGTTCCCCATGGCTCACCAAAATGCGCTCAATCTCCGTAACTGACTGTTCACTACCCATCTTTTTGGCTCTTCCCCAAAACAGAATGCTTACTGTTGGTTGACAATAATCTATTTTTAAAAGGAACTCCCAGCTTTTTCCTTAGCACCAGGAGCCTTTCTGCTCGGGGAGATGAGAGGGTCATTACATACTTTGTTTTTTTGTTTTTTTGTTTTTGTTTTTGTTTTTGTCTGGAAATAGGGGCATTCGCATTTCCAGTTTTTCTAAACTGGAGCTGTCTGAACCTGTGGTCAGGCTCAAGAGCCAGCAGGGGGAGCAGCATACTCAAGGAAAAAAAAATCAAATCACATTAAATTAAATCAAAGCAAAAGAAAAGCAGCTTTAATTTCAAGTGCATGTACTATGCTGTGTATGACAATATATCCCACTCACTAGCATTATTTAAAAGTTTCACATTATTTCCGTGGATCAATTAGAACCACAGCCTGTCCAATTTCAACATATCTTTTATTTCTTCTGTATGCTCTTTTCTATTATTCATTATGTGTGTTTGTGTGTAACAAAGAATGTTTGGAAAATGCTGGACACATTTTTACCCTTCATTCCCATGGTCTGTAAAAAAGGAAAGTGTAAAATCAATCTGTAATGTCAGACAATAAAGATAATGTATAACATTATTTTGTATTTTGTGAAAAAAATTACTAAATTAAAGTCAAACTTTACGGAAGACAGTCCCCCTGGGTGAAGGACACATAACACTTACAGCCTGTATAATTGCCCATGAATGTATACATGGGGTATTGCTATTGTATTTCCAATACACTTAGATCATGGTAAAGAAAAATGCCTTCTTCATGATACTTCTCTGCAAATGGCTTCTTTCCTTTCCTGTCTCTTACTTAGTATGTGCATAGAAAAAGGAAATAAGGTTCAATTATAACCTCCCTCCTCCTAGCAGAGAGAGAGGGCAATCATCCTATCGTCATCAGCCTTGCTTTAGCCATTTCCCTTGGGGATACCTTCCTGGCCATTTCCCAGGCAGCACAATCTTGAAAGGCTCCTGTGGACCAGGAAGTTCGTAAACAGATGGATGCACAGAGCCAAACTGCGGCAGTGCCCCCAAGGTGGCACCACTGCCCCCTCACCTTCCAGCTCCTCTCCACCAAGCCCCTCTGCAGCTTCTGCATCTCGGGGGGCCAACGGCGGGTACTGCAGTGTAGGTACCTAAGGACCAGGGGCCCACATCACCCAGATGTCAGCAATACATCGTCTAGGTGGTGACAGAGTTTGCCTATTTCACTCATTTATCTTTTTGCTTTTATACACAAGCCTCTTTTCAGAAAGGACCTGAGGCAACTTAAAACAAAAGATATAAACAGTGACTTCATAAAATTGAAATAGAAAAATCAAAAACTAAAGAAAAGAAAATGCGAATATGCTAATCTTAAGGGACAAGGATGTTACTCTGCACGTTCAGGCAATGAAGCAAACAAAAGAAAATATCGGTGGTTTTATCAGTACAGAAATACCACTTCTCAGGGGAACAAAATTTCTGTTGGCATAAAATATGAAAGAAAGTCTTCACTGGGAGCTTTATAGGAGTACTGGACAATAAAAAAGGAAAGAAGCAGTCATAGATTTCATGTGGCTGTTTCTTATACTGACCTCAGTCAAAATTAAAAGCAGAACCTTATCAGTCCCAGCCCTAGAGAGGCGGTTCTGCAAAGAAATAAACAAATGCGGTCCAAATATAGACTTCTCATGGTAAAACATGATCTAAGGAGAGAATTTAGAGGTTTTAGACTGGCATCTGCTTCTAAATTCTGTTTTTATTTATGATTGTTTCTCCCCTTTGGGGACATTATCTTTGTAAAACCAAACTTAGAACACCCCCACACAACAAATTGTACTTGATTTAATAACCTCTACTTGCTTTATCATAAGTCTGTGTGGTTCAATGTAGTGTTTTATTATACTGGCATATATAATTTCTACTTCATTCTTTCTTGTTAGAGGTAATGCATGAATTTATCCCTCTCGAGGATAGAACATGAATTAAAAAAAATAGTGCCTGTAATATAATGTGATGATTATGATATCACAAGCAATAAATTTTTTTTTACAAAACTTGAATTGAAGTTATCCTACCCTCTTTCTTCTTTGTGTATCTTTAAGATTTATTGAAGGAACCATAAAAGGAACACTCATAAAACGTTTAATAATGAAGGCAGCTGGGGTATAATTGCAGTACCAATATGTTCCAGTTTCTGGTACACTTCCAGTTCCAAATATTATGTACCAGTCTAAAACTGAGTAGCCTGACTTTGATTCCACAAAGTAAGGTCTCAATATTCGTTTTCTTAGCAAAGTTACCGGAATTAGACCTGAATTACAGTGGTCCCAGAGTTTTGCTCACAGCTATAAGCTTAACTTACATGGTCATTAATTTCAAACTATTGATAATCCATGGCTAATAGGATTATTGTATAGATTTTAATAGATACTGGATGTGAAAGCACTTTGTAAAATCTATGTCAGCTATAAGTATGAATGTATGTATATAGGTATACATACGCATAGGTATATACAAACTTTTCAAATTTGATCCATATTTTACACATACCCACATACACATACACACACCCACACACACATTCACTTCTCTTCCTTACAGTTCATTAACAGTGTCTCCATCAGGGAAAGAAATTTGA